AAATTATTATTTCGTGTTATATCTTCACAAGCATTAATTACACTTTTGCTAACACTTACAATAATGTGCACAGTGTACACTTACGACCCGGTCCAAGCATGTAGTCAGATAGTGTAATTATACTTTCATGTTGAAAATCCACATATTCACTATATCATGTAACTATTACAGTTGCTGCAGTTTACCAATTAAGACCTTTGCATTTCTTTTTCATACAGGAAAGTGTGAAGAATTTGCCTTCAACAAGAGCATTTTATTACACAAAAACAAGGGCACGAAACTGAACTACAGAAATATTTTCCTTTAAAGGTTGCTTTCTTCCAAGCACAAATATTGACAGCAAGATTGGGATACATTTGACAAAAAAGTTGATTCTGGGAAATTAAGGAGGAAAAAATAAGAATTAACCATCTCAGATTTTCTGATACACGCACTTATAACCAATGGGATTCATTCGCCATATTTCTGCTTGAACATAATAACAAAATAATTTTTATTTAATAATCACAGCCACACGTTTAACATTTCAATGTCTACTTAAAAGTATAAACTTCCAAGTTTTCAAATGTTGCAACAAATTAGTTGCATTTTTGTTCGAGCTAAACTTCCACAAACAACATATTTTGGCTCTTAAAACGTGTGTTAAGCTTAATTCGTAGGGTTTCAAGACCAATATTATTATTATTCACAATTAACCCAATGGAAACTAAATTATGAATCGTTGTGCGTAATATTACAAAACTTTCTATTTCAACAATATTAGCCTAATTCGTCACAAAAGATGTGCGAACTGAAGTGTATAAAATAACACTATGCCCTGACAACAAATTAAAGAAACATAATGATTTTGTTTATGCCATACTACTACTGTTCAAAAATAGAACAAATTCAATTGCAAGCTATTTTTGTTGTTTGTTTGGGAGGCTGGACATTTACTCCAAAACAGAAACGAATTTGTACTGTGATTACAGTACTTAAGTCTGTGCACAAGAGGGCACTGCAAAAGCCAGAGGTGGGTGAGAGGGACAAGGCTATTGTATACAATTTGGAGATGTTGCACGGCATGGCATTTCCATAAACTGCTTTTATGTTACGAGAGAAATCATGTGCTGCGCGTGATTTCCATATCAAGATGGAGAAATCATGTTGAGCATGCGTTCTAACGAATGAAATAAAATGTATTCGAATGGTAAATGTGTTAAGATATTAAATAATCATGACATGTGTCTCCATGTCGTCCCTAAGGAGTTTGTAGTCACGTGCTGGGTGATGCTGAAATATAAAAAAACTAATATTTTCTATTTTTTGTTTGTTTGCATTTTGACTGCTGTGGTTATTGCAAACACGATCCCTTGTATACAGGTGTCAGTTTTGGTGCCAGATAAAAGGGTAAAAACCTATTACTAATATTTTCTATTTACCAGGTAAGGCCTACGGAGCTATATAGCTTTGTCAGAAGCGACAAACGATAGCTCAACGAAGTCGCTTATCATCGCGTGGACATTTATAGCAGCCAAACGCTCTAAACGCGTGTTTCTAAAATTGTGCGGTTGATTATATGAAGATCACGACGATGGTTCATCGTACCGCGTCAAGTTACATTTTTATTTATGGTGAAAAATATAAAACCATAAAGCTGTTCAAATGCATCTGAACTGATATTGAAATTGACAAGGACTCTATAAATCAAAACTTAAACTAGATGTAAAGATATTCTTGGTTCTTACGGTAAAGTTACGTGACTTTACCGAAAGAACCAAGAATATGAATCCCTGCAGCCACGAAAGCTTTAAATCAAAATTTAGATATAAAGACTTACTGGATTTTTATTATTTAAATACAGAGTTCACTGCTATTGGTCACAAAGGAATTAGAATCGCGAAAGTGATTGCACCTCAACTGGAACTGATGAATGCGCTATTCGGTCTGGGCTGGGCTCATGGGGACTGCTGGCCGAACCAAGTCTTCATTTTAGATTAGAATCAACTGTTTTATGGTTCCGTTCAAGTTTTCCCTGCATCGTCTGCTGGTCTATACAAAAGTGTCTGTCTGAAAAAAAATCTAGGACCAATAACAAAATAATTATTCCAATGTGTAACGCGCATTCCATCCGAGGATCCCGATGCGCACTGTATGAAAAGCAGGAATCAAAAACAGAACCAGGCAAACCGACCAAACTAGAGGGAAGGCCACTTTAAAGTGATGGGTTTTCAAAGTAGGCTTGAATACATCTACCGATTCTGATTGCCTGATTTCAAGTGGAAAGGCGTTCCATCGTTTGGGTGCCACACTAACAAAAGCCCAGTCACCAACAGAGCGCAACCTAGACCTGGGAGTGCTGAGCAGTTTGAGATAATAAAATATTAAATGACCTTGATGGAATATATAAATGTATTAGTTCCTGCAAATGATGTGGGGTGAGCCCTTTTAAAGCAAAGTTCGATGGAACACGTATCATCTCAACGCCTCAAGATAATGGCAGCTTTGCTTCAACACCATCAGCTTTTGTTGTCTTTTGCGATACGAGTTTGGGGAACAATGTTCTCCCAGAGGACAGTGATCATCTTCAAAAATGGAATGTTTTACTGTGACGTTTTGATAAAAAAAAACCACGGCATTTTGTAGAACTTCCTTTATATTCACGAAGGTTAAGGATAAAGAAAGCATTGTTTGGAAATCTACGGCGAACATTTCCTCAAGTTATTGATCACCTCTGTGCAATTCACACAGCCGCTTGGAGGAAACGCCAATCATTTGAATGGCTGGTAGATACGGTGCAGTGCTCTCTACACATTTTGACGAGGGAATTTTGATTCCTGCATCCCCACAGGCTATCCACTCACGCATGCCACCAGCATACATGCCGTGGAAGCACCGAACACAATTTACAGCCCTAATTTGGAAATGGCAAAACGCACGGGGCAGGCCATCCATCGGACAAGAGGTGAAAGTGAAACGTCTGCCGGGTGAGGGTCTCAGGGCACAGGCTGCAGTAAGTCTCCAGAGTGATGCTGTCAGTGACAATCGCCCACCCCCTTTGATCAGTCAAGTGGTGTGTGTGTGTGTGGTGCACGGACGGTGGTGTCAGTGTTTACACAATCCCGTTTCAGACGTGGAAGCATTAATCACCTCATCCCTATGATTTAATGAAATCACTACATCGTTTTGATTTAATCATTGCCAGCCCCACCACTACCAACCATACAATGCGAGCTGTGTTGCTATCATGATGAGATCAGTAATGTGCCCAAAATGTGTAAAAAAAAAAAAACTTAAGCACCCAAAGAGTTTTGTCGAATGTTTATAAGGAGGACCGATTATGAATTGAAGCCCACACGCTTTCGAGGCACGGTTGTCACATTCTTTATAGTCGATTCCTAATAGAGGCAGGGCCATGTGGATTTGAACAACAAAGCACATTAAGATATATTTAATGAAGTTGCATTATTTTGAACGCCTTCTATATCCCCAGCTCCATATGACTATGGCCATATTCTGAACTCACGGATAATCATGCAGACTCGCGAAAGGACGCTTTGGCCAAAAATATCCTTCATACGCTATGAAATGTTCAAATGAGAAACGCTTCATCCATTAAGTCAGCTCGTCAGATACTCTCAGCACATGAAACAAGAATGCGGGGAAACTACTTTTCCCTCACCTCATTACTCACGATGCCACTAAATATCCAAATCCCCAACAGCAGTGGTTCTTAACATTTACTGCAGCCTTAAACCCCCTTTGGTTCTCAATTGTAAAACAATGTATATTAACAAATACATACTTTGTTTGATGAAACAAAGTAAGTTGTATTTGCGTACCCGTGCTTAAGTTGTTTCAGATGATATACTTTCTAAAAAAATCTGGCCACGTCTCGCACCCCCAGCAGATGCGTGCACCCCAAGTGAAGAATCATTTCCCTCAACAGCCCTTTTGTCTGCAGGTTAATGTGAATTGTCCGGCCCCTCGCTTACTTTACAATTACTGAAAGAGCATCGCCTCAAAGATGTTAAAGAAGTTCTCCTCAACGGTGGCAAGCCTCATTGCATTGGTCAATCTGCTCGTAATTGCCAACGATGGTTTTACCTTTGGTCCATTTTACCATAGGTTACGTTGAAAAAGAAGGTACAATATATGTGCCAGGAGGATTTCCCCGATTAAAATATATACTTTAATCATGCAAACCCCAAAAACAAAGCATTGCAATACAAAAAAGAGATGAATAAACACGCTCCGCATTGTGCGTTTTGACACGAGGCAGTGTGTTGGATCCTCCTTTCTTAACAACACTTCCCACTGGGCAAGTCTCCATCACCAAGTCTCAACGTCTGAATCACTTCAAACTGACAGCGAAGAAAATGCTAAAAAGTATTAGTGCACACGATTCCCTCATCATTCACGAACTCGCTATCCGCGATTTTGGCTATCCGCGAATTCGCATCTGGAATTCGACTGCATCGATACAGAGACAAAGTGATGAGATGAAGTGACGAGAGAGAATGCGATGCGAGAAAGTGATGAGATAAAGAGATGAGAGATTTATTTTCGAAGCTTTAGAAGCTTCTGCAGACGTTGCCCGTACGATATTCATAGGCCAATATCACTCCTCGCGAAATTGTCTATTCACGAGCATCTCCGGAACGTATCCCTCGCGAATAACGAGGGAGCACTGTACACGACATGAACCATTTTGGTAAGTTTTCTGAAAGTGCCAGGTCTCTTTCCATTTGGAGATGGGTGAACCAATAATCGTTGGAAATAACTGCTCCTTCATGCTGTACAGGTTAAAACTTGGAGATGGATGTATGCACACACACACACAGGGCACAGGTGGCACTGTGATGAATGGCTAAGTGGTCCCACTCACTCCCTTAACGTTGAACCGAAGTCCGTTGTGTTGAACGCAAACGAGGGGTCAGATGGATGTTGTTGATCAGACTGCTAGTTACAGACAAGCCACAACACAATGCTTTTTGGTAAACCGAGTGACACACATTTTCTTTTTTGCGGGTTTATAACATTGAAACATGTGTTTTTTTATACTTTCGTTCGTCCACAGGGTTGCAACATTCACACACCACGCGTTTAAACCATTTGTGCAATTCTGGGGCGTTATGTAAAAACGGAAAACACCACACCCACTCCTGCTGGTCAATGCCATTGCTTTTGTTTTCATGTCAAGCTTAATTCCAGTACGTTGAATGAATATATGCAGCAGTATATAGGTACATTACAGAGGGAATGAAGTGTAAATTTGGGATTTTTAAAAATGCAAACAAAATACACAAAAACTGCAAAAATAAAGCATGTTGATGCCTTAGGTCACCGAACAAAAACATGGGCTTGGAAATACGTACAATAGGTTAGTGCAACATTTTACCACCCTTCCCCAAACGTTTCGACTACCCTTACACTATCTGTACAATCATCAGCCATTCGCTATCCCAATGTTGCTGCTCTCCTGGGTCTGTGATGCAAGCATCCGGCTCACTATGGCAGCCGTGCCGATTTTAATCGCTCCAGTTCTGCAATGGTCGTCTTGGGTGTTCGCGTTTCCCTCCTTTGGCCGTCAATCTTTCACCAATCTCCTCCAATGGCCATGTGATGTTGTGTCGTCCTGTTCAAGCCCGCTCAAGTCAATCACGCACCAAGCATGCGTCTTAACCATGCTTCTCTGCCAGCTTTCAGCTCTTCTTGCATTTTGTCGGTGTTCACGTTTTTTTTTTATGAACAAATCATAGCCAGCATTATACACCAATGAAAAAAGTTGCAACTCCCAATAATCTCTTTTCGTGATCGATCTTAAGTTCCTCGAAAGCACTCCATCCTGCTAGTTTGCCTCCGCCATCCGTTAAAACTCCACCTGCATGCTCCTATCGAGCCGCTGAACGTGACTTTGTTTTGCTTTCTTGTCGAACTTTGTGGCCTTCTGTGCGAATTTCTTCAGTCGTGTTGTGCAATGTTTAACAGCAACAATTAAACCTCCCGTTCCGGATAAGTAGGCAGCCCCATGTAAATAGACATCCGTACAAACACAGTGGTTCGTAAATTTGACACTGAAACAGTATGCACGTAAGATTATTTAATTCCTAAAGCCACAAGGGTAAATTGCAGAACTGATAATACCCAACAATAAAATTATTCACGTAAAATCTGAATTGGTTTAATAAAATAAGCAACGATAACCTACGTGTTCCTTGTAATATAGTAATGTGTCCTAATATATCCTCATCAAAGGAAGCTTAATTGCACTGTGTAAGTGTACAGTATTTATATAACTTTAATTTGGATTAGTAGTCATGCATTGGGCTGTACAAAGCATTCCAGCAAGTGCCCGTTGTGTTTGGGAGGAAAGTTATGCATTTTCAAAATAAATTTAAGTCAGAGGATGATATTGAGTGATAATTTGTGATGTGCCTCTTGACAGCAGGCTAAGCGATGTGATAAGAGGTAAAGCAACAAGTGCAACGTAATTTTGAAATGTCTTGTTCCAAAAAATAAGTTAATTCATGGCTCACACGTTTGCGAATAAGGTCACACGCGCATCTGGTGAGAAAGTGGGTAGAAAATTAAAGCTGAGCAAATTTCAAGTTGACATTACACCAGTTAAGAAAAAAAACGAATTGGGGAAAATGGTTCAATGGTGGCAATGGTCAACATTAATGTATCCCCTCCCTCCCCTAAAAAAACTTTAAAAAACAATTATATACACACTGCATTGTGTACACAATAACACACGCCTCTAACCATTAGAACATAACCAGTCGAATGAGATCTCTCTTAAATGTCTTGCCCCTGGAATGCACAGCAAAAAAATCAATGCTGGCTTTCAGCAGAAGAACCAAATGCTCAATTATAAAAAGAGAAACACTAAATTATTAACTGCACGTAACACACTCAGATGTACACTATTGAGATAAACGTATTGCAGAGTCCTAGCTTAATTTGTCACGGCAAATTAAATCATCAACAACACTTGGGTGAATCCGGATTTCCCCAGGTTTCCGTTGCCGGACACCACACGATATTTGACAATTTCCATAGGATTTTAGCATAGGTCAGCAGGGACACAACCTTTTGTTCACGCAGTCGCTGAGCACAGGTTCAAAGGCCCATAACCACAAGTGGCCAGTAACAAACACCTTAAGAGGTCGGCAGTCAAAGTCTCATAACATTTGCGTGTCACTCATTCTGCTGTAGCCATGCTTCGCAATTTAATGCAAATATTTGTCGGCGAGGTAACATTACATCACAAATGTACACAAGATGTTTCGGAGGCTTTAAGCTTCACGCGGCTATGCTCCGAACTAGGACCAAAAAAAAACCCAGTAACTTTGCATCGATGCTCTGCCGACATGCCCTACGCCGTGAGAGGCCGTTAGAAAGCGCGAACGCCACATCCACTTGCTCACTTGAGCTCGTCGAGGGATCATTCGAGTGCGGCTTTCACCTTCCAAGCCGTTGCCTCCCTATGGAGGCCGCTCTTCCCACATTTGCTGGGCATTTTTGAATTGACGTCACGTTTCCGTAACATAAAAACAAAACAAAAATGGTAAGCGAGTAAACATTACAAAAAAGCAAGTTATCTGATGACTTCAATCTACAATTATTTAAACACTGCTGCTTGGATGTATAATTCTTATGCCGGTTTTCAAGCAATTCACGTGGTTTTTTTTTAAAGCAGGGCAGCCCACATTAAAAGGCAAGGCTGTTTGCAAATTTCAGGTGAAATGGATTTAAATCGTGTGGCTCCAGTGAGTGTTGTACTAACCAACGATAAAACAAAATTCCTGTAATTCATCACAAAATAAAGTTTACCATCACAATGTGTTCAGTGCTTGCACAATGATAACGTAAATGTTCTCAGTTTTCTTTGAATATAAAAAATACAGTATTTATCGTACAGTGTGCCTTCCACACCCAATGTTTAGCCGTGTTAAAATTAAACAATGTGGGCGATGCTGCTGCGTTGGATAGCCACGATGTTAAAAGTCTGCGTTGATCGTGCTGTACGAGCAAAATGAACTAAATTAAACACAACACATTCATCAATAACACTGTGGCCTTAAAATGCTAAATGTGACATTCAGGCAACAGCACTTCTTCGTAGCACGTGCCATGTATTTTTACGTTCATGGCAGAGTTATTGAAGAATGTGTAACATTTTTACGATGTTAAAAGGTCACCCACCGTATTCAATATGAACGTCAACAATGAGCGCAAGCCACTTCCAGCCAACTTTCAATGTCCCTACTTTAGCATTGGAAAATTTGGGTGCCAAAGTTGAGTCTATACTGACAGCAGAGCTAAATGGCTGTCAAAACATTTGCACAACTTTTAAAATATGTATTCAAGGGATGGATCAAGGCCAGCTCTATGTTGATGATAAAATGGTTAAACCGCAGTTCTTTTGCCTGCTGCATTGCAAATGTTAAACTTTTTAAATTTCTCTTCTCATAGCCAGTGCAGCCGATCACGTGTAAAATAAATGGCCAAAAATGCTAACGTTTACGCAGATGTACCTTTCAAAAACCTTGCTAATTCAGCGGAAATATTAACCTCAAGCAAAATAGCTCACTTCCCTCGAGCACACGTATCCAGCTCATGTTATAACCCAATAAGGCAGGCAGAGTGAGCACTGCACCGATTCCCATACTGTTACTGGATTAAAAAATAAGCACAAATGTTCCTGGTGCTTCCAAATTTTGAGTGCTTTCCCCACGTGTCATCTGTGAGTGCTAAGTCGCTGGATGGCTCAGGGGGTGAATAACCGCGTCAAAACACTGTGCCTGTGCCACTCAAATCATTGGGTTTTAATTGAGTAGCCACCCTAAAAGAAAATAAAGCAAGTTGTCAATGGCAACGTTTGATCATCCCAGCTTTACAACTGATATTTGAACAATGCAAAAGATAAGCATTTTAAGTCAGCACACCCCAGTTCCGAGGGTTTATTTTGGCAGAACTGTGCAGAATAAATCCTATTTTTTGTGAAAATAAAGACGGCTCAGATTAGCATTTATGCGAAAGAGGCCCTCAAGGGATATCTGGCAGAAGTCTACGACAAGACCGGTAGCTCCATGGCTGTGCGGGGTTCAGGTATGCAACGTGTAGAGCTCTGGTTCATGAATGCTGATTGCACACTTCATTCAGCAAAAATACCAGGTGTTCTTTTTTCTCCCAAATGGCAGAGTTTTACTAGGTACGCACATGGTTGGATGTTCCTTGCGATAACTCTGGGATTTGGTCCAAGACATTCGAATTAGTACAGGTTGTTAATGTGTTTTACTGCCTTTGTAAAGACATGCATCTGCACTGGAAGGAGGCGCAAACTGTGACATTTTGCAAGTTTTCGTTGGTAAGAATGAACATGGTACGTGAAATAAGATTTCAATTTGTGTTATAGGTCTTACATGCACACCAAGGAGCAAGATGTGTTCTTATTTGGAGAGAGAAGGGCAGGACAGGCATTGTACTTGCACCATCCTCCCCTTATTCCAACTACAACTATCACAAGGAACAAACATAATCAGGGCTTACCTAGTTTAAACATACACATGACAGAGGAATCCCTGTTTCACAGCTATTCAATAATAAACTCACCAGGTACCGATCAAATTTGAGAGGATTTAACAAACCTGTTGGTTCATATCAACTGCAAATTGGGAGAGTCAGAGACGTTTCATGGTAAGATCTTTGAAAATTAATTCTTGGCTTGACATTTTAATGGGTATTTTTTTTTTAAAGCACAGGTGAGAGAATAAATAATGACCGTTGCTTTTCCATAAGAGCGGTTTGAGAAGGAGCTTGAGGCAGCCTGCTAGAGGTAGGAGTTTGGTGGGCTGCGTGGGGTCGTCTTGTTTCACGGGAATGCGTGGTTGGGGGCAAGTTGGTGAAGGTGGGAGGGAGGATAGCCTTGTTCTTCCCTCCTTGCGTTTCATTTTTGTCCATGCCTGCACAAACCCATCCACCGCTCAACAACGCGGTGGCGAGTCTTTGCAGGTCCCCCCCCTTTTGCATTGCAGAGCTCACATCATCCCCATGCGCATGAGAGCGTTGGCATAGGCCATGGGCTTCACATTCGGGTGAGGCTGTTGGTGACAAGAGGAACAAAAAGACAAAATATCGCCCTTTAGCCAGTGAGAGACAAATGTGATGACTGTTGCAAAAAGACACATATGCACAGACACAATTAATTGTAAGCATTAAATGAAGAATCATAACAAGTTCAAGTACTCTTGGTTCTTTCGGTAAAGTCACCACGTAGAAGTGAAACAATAAAATAATAAAAATATAAAACAATAAAATTCTCACGACGTTTCGACTGCAACACAAGCAATCATCATCAGGTGTGAAAACCACAGCAAGAAAAGAGCACTATCTAGATTTGGAGTTTTCGTGACTGCAGGGATCTCTTTGGTTATTTCGGTAAAGTCATGTGCACGTCTTCTAATCCAGTTTCTTTGGCCCCCCCCTCCCCCCCCCCCGGTATTTTGTCTGCTCGTCCTCTAAACATTCTCGCAACACTCCCCTCCCCCTACCCAACACCCCCCCCCCACTCTATCTCTCCCCCCTTGCTCCTCCCCCCTCTATTACCTACATAGCCTCTTGTTACAAGCAGCCCTTTTGCCCACTTCAGCCAATTGTTTCTTGCTGCGGTTGTCCCACCTGATGACGGACGCTTGTGTTGCGCCCGAAACGTCGTGATTTAATTAATTTTATTCTATACCTACGTGACTTTACCGAAAGAACCAAAGAGTATGAAAAGAGCACTGGCACTGTACATGTTAAACCGCTGTCGGTGGCCTTGTAATGACCAAATGTACAACAGTTGAGATATTGTCGAGAACAGTGACCAAAGTGTAATTATTTCATATAGATGAGCTCATACTGTGAAACCAAGCGATGTGCTTAGCATGGCAATAAACCACATTCATGCCAACCAGTCTAGGATTATAAAATCTGGACGTATGCAAAATGTTGTCCTGATGAATCTAATTGCATGATTCATGCACAATAATACCTTCTCTAAGCTAGATTCGAGTAGGCCAAAATGCAGGGTAAACCAGAAGGCAACACACATAACTGAATGTTTGATAATTAACAAAACAACTCCAACTGATACACTGTTCTCCGTCCTAATGAAACTGTGCATCATGGGAAACGTTGTGCCTACGCGCACTAGCAATCCTAAAGCTACACAAAAGAAACCTGTTGTATAGAATTCAGCAAACCCGTTTCTTTGGAGGCCACGTGCCCTGCAAGGACTATCGCTCGCTCTCGTTTTTTAAGTTTTGGGTTCATTATACAAAGAATACAAATTATTCAGGCCCGTCTTAAAATCAATTTAACCCATTATAAGCAGTGAACCTCAGCCCTCCCCCTCAGCTTCATGGTGATGGTAAGCACCTCAAATTAAACTGTACAGAAGTGATTAGTTATTAAAATGCAAACATCAGGGGCTCTGCACACAATTAGTCTGGCTTTGAGAGTTTTTTTTACCAAAACATCTCCCATTCATGCTCAGGTTAGGGGCACTAACTGCATGGTTCGTTCGATTTGTACTCACAACGGCCGCAAATTCATGGAACTCCGGTTTTAATGCGGGAGCCGTCAGATGAATGTAGGAGCCTTTGTTGCCCATCTGGTCACTGCAGGGAAAAAAGCAAACATGATCAGTATTAAAAAAGGAAACACATTAATCACAAAAATAATAACAGGATGGTTCTTTTTAATAATAATGCCAGGTGAAGGGGCCTTTAAGTGCCTCTTAAATGTCGGTGTACATTGAACGCTGTTCCGATTTTGCCGTGGGATGGCGCTATAGACGTCGGAGGCTGGCGTGTCCTGGCAGTGACTGTCTTGCTCCTTGGGGTAGAGGGGAGGTTCGTGAGTCGTGCTGCTGCTAGGGTTAACTCTACCGTGAGCTGTGGTGCAGGTTTACAGGAGTGAAGAGAGATATGGGAACTGCAAAGGAGAAACGACCCCCAGCAGTGGCAGTCCTGGCTCCTTGATTTATAGAGTAAGTTTCTGAGTTAAGCTGCTGGGGAGATGTATTCTGTGAGCTGCAGTGCAGGGTGAGAGGAGTGAAGACACGGCACATGACCAAAAGTAGAGCCATGGTGGCACAGACAGGCGATGTTGTAGCTGACCCTGCTGGCGATGGGAAGCCAGTGTAGAGCGCAGAGGGAGGCGAGTGAATCCAGCCGAGGGTGACATGCCGGCGAGATGATTTTGCAATCGCTGGAGTTTTTTTTATTTCTTGATGGAAGATTGAACATCAAGCATCGATCAGATGCACTTCTGCGGCCGTCTGGAACGCTCTTCCTTCCGATATTAGAAAGCCACTGGGAGCTATGCACTTTTAAATCTAAATTGAAAGCTCATTTCGTTAGACCTGCTTTTTGTGCTTAGTTTGTTGTCCTTGCCCCGCACCTCAGATTAGCACGGTGCGAAAGAAGTTCAACATACATACAACATGTACCTGTTGCCAGTTAACTCAAGTTATGTAAGAGTTTTTTCCATGACCGCCGTGGAATGTCTCAGGTCTTCTCCAAAGAGCAACTGTGGAGCACACGACTGCAAGGAGACGAGAAGCTAATTTTGGGTGCTGCGGCGGCGAGATGTAATCACCCTTGCCAGTGCATCTGAAAGCGCACGATGGATGCAGTCGCCATCTTTGTTTGACGGTTATCCAAAAGCCACTGCGAGGATGACCGGAGTTTACGTAAATGGTTTATATGCTCCTTGACGAGATCAGCAAGGTGTTGTGTGGTTTATTCATGGCAAGAATAGCGTTCGTAGAGTGACTGGAGTGAATTAGTGAGTAGTTTGTTAAAAAATTCGGTCACAGTCCCTATGATCACTGTTACATTGCATTTATGGCTTTTATTTTGGTGATTTCGAAAACGTTTTTTTGTTTTGGCCACGTTTTTGTTTATTGTAGTACGGAGTTAGACTGATGGCCTTAATCTTAGTTGTCTAGTGGTTGTTGTTGTTGTTTGACTTGCATCCCACTGGGATTTTTGCACACAGCGTTGGTGTACGTTGCTATTTCAGGAATATTTTTGATGTTTTTTTCCTGGATTTTCTGTTTGCACAGTCACACACAGTCACTTTAAGATGTTTTCTTGTTCACGTTTTTGTTTGTTGCGGTTGCACCCGATTCAAGAGCCGAATGGCTCACAGGGCTATACCAAATAAATGAACTATGGAACTATGGAGTAGTGTCATACTTGAGCTGAACGAGTGAGCCAGCTGAAGGTTCCGAGAGAAAACACAGTGCTTTCCCCTCTTACCAGTAGTTGGGCGCAGAGAAGACGGTGACGCAGCGGCCGTCGTGGGCCACCTCATAGCCGTCCGGCTTCACCTCGTGGCTGCGGATGATCAGCTCGAGGTTGTTCTGCTCCATGAAGGCCCGGCTCACGTCCGGCCCAAACTGGCAGCTAACGCCGCGCTTACTCACCGAACGGCCAGGCTGTGCCACACCACCACCGCCATGAAAACAAAAATAAATTAAATAAAATGTTCACCCTGGTGGTAAATCTGTTACCATCATCACGAACCTTCTCTCAGTTCAAACAAAGTAATGGAATTTGAAAACCTACAATTTATGTTAACATCCCACAATTGTCTCGTGTCACAGCCAAGATGAGCATACAATACCACCCATTACCGTAAACTGGCAAATGTAATTTGGACTTATTCTATTGGTCAGGTCACAACAATGTGTGCAACTGGATGTCACATATCGCTGAATTACATATCTGCAGTGTTAATAGGTGTGAAATGTTGCTACACTGTATACCAACTGTGTGTACCATTTTAGCCACCGGTGGTTGCTCTGCATCCCTGTAATCCAGCACTGTGGAGGTGAGGTGTTGGTGGACCATACAAATGTTGTGAAACCCCATTTCTGTGGGGATCGAGGTGGCTCCACACCGTGGCTCACCATGCCAAGATGGTGATGCAAATTGCAGACTTATGTTTTTTGTCTCTTCTGTATGAGATGTTGCTCATTCGCAACAATGCAGGTGTTCTGGCTTCCCCCCAAAAGCATCAGCACTAATCGGCTGAAAACATCTTTTAAAAAAGTGTTTTTTTTTTAACCAGGTAAGGCCCACTGAGCTCTATAGCTCTTTTTCAGAAGTGACCTGGCCACAAATGATAGCTCAACAAAAGTGGCTTATCATGTGGAAATTTAGAGCAGCCAAATACTCTAAACATGTGTTTGTAAATTTGGAGGGAAAAACCGGAAGATCCAGGGAATAATACACACAACCATGGGGAGGACATGCAAACTCCAAATATACAGGGGTTCAGGGTCCAGATCGAACCTACGGCCCCCTGTATACCAGGCGAGGGAGTTAACATCTCGCCACCATAGACTGCGAAGCTTGGGCAATTGTTGGTGACACCTGACACGTCTGGCTGCCTTCCAGCTTTGTCTGTGATTCCTCAGCAATTGTCAGATGCTAACTACACTTACAACGAGGCTATACAACACTGAACATTAATTGGAGCAAAATGTGCAAATAAAAGGCCTGGAACAGCAGATAAAACATTACACACACGCAAAATGGTTCATTTATCAACTGAAAATAAACAAATGTGAATAAACACAACTCACCTGTGGTTGTGGGTCTGACCACAGCAAGTCACACATGGGACCTGGACAAAGGAAACAAAAAAGGAATAATATTATTTGTAGTCCTTGATCCGCCAGTGGGCTCTGTATGTGGTTAATATATTCCTGTGAGTGGTGAAGATATAACAGCTAGTTTTGTAAGTAACAAACATTAAAAAGATTGACTTAAAGCCTTCATGACTGCAGGAATTCATATTCTTTGGGTCTTTCGGTAAAGCCACGTGGGTTTACCGAAAGACCCAAAGAATTAAAAAAAATATCCTGAACCTTGTAACCGCCAGCTGCAAGTGATGCCACACAGATAATATCAACGTATCTATCATTGTCAATCCAAAAATTGGTACGGTATCTACACATTTCAGCTGTACTTAGTGATGAGAAGGCAACATCAGAGAAAATGGCACTTTGAATGCAAAAACGGGCCATTCTTAACAAGCATATTAAAACTAACTTAACGACAAATATGGCATAGGGGAAATAAACTGTGGAGTGAGGTTAGCAAGGGACTCTGCTAACACATAATTAATTTCTGGGTCAGATTGTGTAATTAAAATGCATGTCATAAACCCTCCCCCAATTGACAAAGAGAATTAATAAAGTTGTCAAGAGAACAAAATGTGTCAATTAATTATTGATTCAGCACACCAGTGTGCTGGAGAGCGATCCGCAATATTTAATAATTTAGTACAACGTTTCGCTGGTATTACAACCGGCATTGTCAGGCAGGTGCCAGAAATCTAGCAAAAAAATATAACAGTGTCCGCCTTAAATGATGACAATAGCAGAAACTTGGCAGTACGTTTCAAGCAATGGGTACATATGAACAAACATTCATTTCAACGTGAATACATGAGTTGACTCTAGCTTCGAGTTAGCTCTTGTCAAGATGAACAAGTCTTGTAAGGAGGTGCCCCCACACTTTCGACTGAACCTCGAGAAGCAGGAATAATGTTGAATGTGGCCATGCAATAGCGCATACGCTGGCCTAGGGGGCAGCACTGCACCTTCGCATTCCGACGGTGGATACAATGAGAAGCCTCTAGTTCTACTTTAATGGTGTATGATCAATACGTGCATTTATTGTACCCTATTAAAGCGGTATGGTTGTGGTGTTACGAACACATTTTTCCCCCATTTTACCAAGTAAGGTCCACTGAGCTCTAGAGCTCTTTTTCAGAAGCGACCTGGCAACAAATGAAACCTCAACGAAGTGGCTCATCACGTGGCAATGTATAATGGCCAAATTCTCGAAACGCATGTTTATAAATGTGGAGGAAAAGACCAAAGGACGCGGAGACAAAAGCATGCAACCACGGGGAGAACATGCAAACTCCATATATACAGGCGTCATGGTCCAGATCGAACCCACGCCCCTCTATATACCAGGTGAGGGAGTTAACATGTTGCCACCGCAGCGCCCCTTAAAATATAACAATCATGATTTTACATGCTCAACCTGGGCGTAAATTCCCAATAATGATGAGGTAAAATAAGCCAATACGGTTAAAAATAAGGCTGCGCCCAGATCTTTGCTTTTCCTTCAAATTTAGCTGAAGATATCTTTTTCAATATTCAGATAAGGTTGGGTTAAAGCAAGAAAATAATTGCGGAGCGAAATATTAGTTTTGAGCACTGGCGATTGCCGTTGTGACGGGACCAGTGTGGCCGGCTGTGGGGAACAGGACGGAGAGGGAAGTGCAGGGAAGGAGGGGGGGGAGGAGCTATGGTAAGGATGACAAGCCTGACCGAGAACAGAGTGAGAGGCGAGAGATAGAGAGCGGGAGGATAGGGACGGGGGACGAGAGACGAGGCAGGGGAAATAAATAGAGACGGATAATATAGAGAAAGAGACTTCCGTTTCGATGACACATAGACGTACGTTATCCGAATGGGAAAGGTTTAACAAACCTTGTAACAAAAATTACTAAATGTATTCGAATTTAGATTCAATAAAAAGATAGTGTTTGACATAACGGTGAAGCAATGATCATGCCGATTAGGTGTATTGTCTGATATGGCTATTGTTTATAATTGCACCCCAATTTTTTTCTAAGTGCTATTTGGTGAACCCCTAAGCTACTAACCACACTGCCGTGCAAGTTTCCACCAACTTGCATATAACAGTACACCAGCCTGCTTAATCGAGTCTGCAATGCTTAAAGAAAATGGTCTTGTACATTTGTAGGTAGTGTAGCTAAAAGGAACACAACACCACTTTGTGGTTTACAGCAAGCGTTCGCCTACCCGAGTCTGGCGGCTGGCGGTTCCGATCGATCTTGCGGATATCGTCCAGCGTGACTCCGTCCTCGCTGAACAGGCCACCATGCATTATCTGCAGCACAAATCCCAACATCGCAACCATTTCCACCGGCAGTTGCATCACCAAGTGCTCTCAATCCACTGCTGGGACGTGGCCTTTGCAAGTTCAAGCCTTCATAATTTCAACGAGTGATAACCCGCGTAAGCGTTTGCTCACTCTCATGGAGAGAGAACGACTCGGAGGCATGAGGGGGAACCAGACGAGCGGGGGTAAGGCAGCCACGCCATAAGCCCATGCCAACAATTGCCCAAGTTCCGCGGTCCTCTTAATATTCTACCGTTATCGGACAATTAATAAAGGTTTACATGTGGGAGTAAACTGGAGCACACAGAGAACAGCCACGCGTGTGGGAGGGGGGGGGGGTGGAAACACTATACAGACGCTACAGGTGGAGTTCACAATTTTTCTCTACTGCTTTCTTGTGACCAGCCAGCATTATAACAGTTTCGCAACATCTGTGCGATCCACCAACCCCTCGCCTCCGCATAGCCGCCACCGCCCGGCTACGACACCAAGCCACATGTTTTAACAATGCTCTTGCAGTCGGGTGGGGAAATATAATTAAATGAAATGTTAAAAAGACACCTTTGGAATACGGATGTGTTGAGTTCATGGCTATTTATTCATCTAGCAATGTCTACTCAGGTCAGATACTCAACCATATTATAAGTAGACACCTGCGAAGACCGAACTGGCCTTTAGCTGTTTTCCTACATGAATGTAATCGCAAGGACTTGGTGAAAACAAACAAATCTCCCAGCTTTACAAACATTTTAATGGGAATTAACATAAAATAACGTAATTGGATTATCCGTCTTAATCTATGTTGTTCTGTCACGTTATTCACTTTTCCAAGTAATTTTAGCCTTGCTTGTGCGTGACTGGTTGAATAGCCATGCCACATTGCAAATATGTTTTCATTGGGTTATGCAAAGTGTATATATTAGTGTATAATGCAAATACATTTTTATTGACTTGATCAAGCAAGTAACTAGTGCCATTACAATTGGGTGAAATTGCTCCTTGATACTATTAAATATTATTATATTTACTTTGTACAATGCCTTTCACGAACACAAAACGTCCCAAAGCACTGTATTACAAAGATCAGCACTCTGCACTCTCCTAATAGGAAATGTCATCGCGAACGTTCGGTGAATGGGCAGTGATGAGTGGAACTCTGCCTTCTTGAGCTACCTCTGCCCTTCCATCTCATCGGTCATTTTTTGAGTTACCGTAAATTCAAGCGATTATTTTTTCCCCCATCAAACTTAGCAAAAACATGTCCTGACCGTATGCGCCGGTGGTGGAGGAGGCGATGAGGGTTTGTGTAAGGTTAGCGCTTGTGTTGATATGAGAAAAGGTCAGGGGGCTCCACATGTGCCTCCGGCAAATGATAACCAATCAGAGGATGTTTGAGAAAATTGTTCAACTAATTGCTATAAATTCTTTCTGTGCTTGTCAGCGCCAGTTCATAAAACATATCTAATCAACATCGCACCTCCCAGAAATTCCTCAGGAAGGGAAAGTTTATTTCCGAGGAGAAAAAGACTCGGAGGGGGGGGGGTAACTCACGAAACTCAATACCTACCTTTATGAAGGCTGCGGGAGCGGCAATTTATTTACATTACCAATCGCATAAATTACACGTCCACAGGATATTTGAGATACGGTCGATGAAGAGCTCTTCCTCTGGCCCTGAACGCACACTTTTCAACATAAATTTTAACAAACAAAAAACACTCTTCCAATTATACTCCCTTCAGCCTACATTTTTTTTTTGCCCAACGCACAGCTTGGGAAGTGAATTGTACCTTTTTTAATAGCAATAATAATAACACTGAAACTTTACATACACTTCTCTCTTTGAAAAAAAAATGCAAAGAACTCTCGAAAAATTGTGAGAAAATGCAAATTGAAATGTTGCATGTATTGTCCTCTTTTCTCAAGTTCTTATAACCTTGTCCAATCCCAGAAATGTGTTCCCTCATCGAGTACAACTTCCAACAGCGCTGTCTGCTACTGAACGCTTGTTGTTTTTAGGCCTGTGCTCAACCGTGAGAAAATCAATACATTAAAACACACAACAGAAGGGCTTTGTGGTCCACCACCAACAAGTTCTTATAACCTTGTCCAATCCCAGAAATGTGTTCCCTCATCGAGTACAACTTCCAACAGCGCTGTCTGCTACTGAACGCTTGTTGTTTTTAGGCCTGTGCTCAACCGTGAGAAAATCAATACATTAAAACACAACAGAAGGGCTTTGTGGTCCACCACCAACACACTGGGATGCCCATCACCACATCATTAACTACGTTTGCAGATCAAATGGCAGGCATTAAACTATATTCTGCTGGAATTTAGCTTTAATGTCATAAAACTCATCCTAGGAAGATAAATATATACGCAGAATTTGCCCACAAGTCACAAGAATGAATGACAAAATATTGTAATGCTTTTAAAAAGAGAGTCGATATGCCTGACAAGAAACTGATTAAGTAAATCAATTTGTGCCGATTTTAAAAAAAAAAAGTAATTTAAAAAGAAAAAGTCATGTTGACTAGAGCCAGCCAAAATAAATAAACAAAACACGTTTAACTTGTACATTTAAAAAACACTACAATAAAGTTATTGTGGACAGAGGCAGGCTGAATAAGGGGTTGCTCAAAGGACGCATTGAATGATGGCCATCAGAGCACACAAGTGTGTTGAGATGTCCACGCTGGGCAGAACTTCAACCAGCAGTGGAATTAAAATGAATGGCGATTGTATTTTGCACGTCATGCAATGGATGCAAGTTCACCTCACCAGCACTCTGCTGTTGATGCACATGGCGAGGGGAAGCCACTGGAACACTTCACTGAAGAAGTCGAACATCTGAGCCGTGTACTTGGCCTTCACCTCCCCTTCGAAGCCGTACATCTGGTTCATGTTGTCCGTCTCGTGATTACCTACAGCGTTGAGCGCAAGCATAAGCAACTTGTCACCACAGATTAAGAGTGTTTTTTTTTAATGAGATTTTTACCTCCCTTAGCTGCATTTGAAAAAAAAAAATCTGTTATTTATGACCAGCTAGAATATATCTATCCCAGCCAGCAAGATTGCTGTTGAACACCCAAGAATATACGAGCATGCATAAGATAAAAATTATCTCCTTTCCTGAATTTGGCAATAATTGCATTTACTTAAATTGTTTTACCTTAATGCATGATAGTAGGAGTATAAAAAGAAGCAAATGGATGCAAAGAGTTATATCTAGGCGAATTAAATCAAACCACTGCAATTAACGATAAAATACTATTTTTCACGCAGAGGTCATTAATGTTTTTGATTGAAAAATGCCAATAACTTTACTGAATGTAAACATGAAAAGATTGCATTTGCAGGGGGTGAACAAGCTCAAGGAAGAAAACAACCACTTTGGGCATTACACTGGCTTCTGTCGATCAGTTCACATACAGCTGTGTCAATGATCAAATGTGGGGAGATGTTTTCACATTTGTGATTGCACTGAATGCCGAAGTTAAAACACATTTTCGATGCGATACACTTAAAAATAAATAAAATGTCAAGTTCTTTAAAACTAAAGATCGTCTGAAATTAAAATGCTGTACGGTACTGAGACAGTATGCGAGACTGATGAGAAACGATGTGCAAGTACTACGAGTCTCAAAAACATATGTTGGAGTCGTGTAACAAGAAAACAAAAAAAACTCTGCCAGGGTTTAGAGCTGAGATCCTGGATTCATAGTTAGTGCGCCATGTGATGCCTTTGTACATCCTGTAGACCACCACCATTAAAGCAAACCTTAAACAAGAGCACATTTCATACAACCACCATTTCATATAGCCACTATACAACCACCATTTCATACAACCACCAATTCATACAACCACCAATTCATACAACCACCATTTCATACAACCACCACTGAGTGAAGCTTGTGTAGGCGCATTACTGAATTCATTGCAAAACCAATGTTCTCATGCAATGGTGACTGATTTGAGACCACCACATTGGAAATAGTTTTTTTATTTTGCACTAATTACACGGGAGGCACACTCTCAGTACTTGTCACCTCAAAACGAACATGCTGCTTTAGGGTTATCTCACCTCGCATTAAATGGAAGTGGTCTGGGTAGAGAAGCTTGAATCCGAACAGGACGAGTATAACTTCCACCGACCAGGAGCCTCTGTCTACAAAATCGCCATTGAATACCTGTGGTTGCTCTGCTTAAGGAATCTAAGGAGTCCACGCGTGACTTCGATCATTTGTTGGGAAGAGAAGACATGTTGCAAAAGACACTTGTTTTTTTAGAAAATGAAGTTGATAAATTAACAGTAACATAGCGTAATGCCCGAGTAAAAAAAAAACCCATCCATGCGATGTTTAGTATTTTTGGACCAAACAATGTGCATGCATTGTTGACGAATGCAATTCAAATTAAACACTCAACATGTATTCTATTCTATTTATGATTTATATAGTGCCCTTTCCAGGGCAAGAGCAGAATAAGATGGTTCAGTTGGTTGTTTTTTTTAACTCGCCTCAGGAAATGATCTTGAAACCCCGTGATTGAGTGCAATGGCCAAATTATGTACAATGAAGTTACATTGTTTACAACACGGGAGTGTGGCATGGTTTAACTTTAGATTAAGACATTTCCGGTGGGCTTTATCACACGAGTGGGTCTTCTTGAACACAGTAGACCACCTGTAGTCAAGAAAGCGCCAAATCAAGTTAGTAGAGCACTATACTCTTTGGTTCTATTCGGTAAAGTCACGTAGGTAAAAAATAAAACATGACTTTACCGAATAGAACCAAAGAGTATGGATCCTTGCAGTCACGAAAGCTTTAAATCTAGTAGAGCACTGGTTAACCGTATTTCTGTTCACCACATATGCAGTCCGCTATAAACCATGACCCTATTCAAACACGTTAACAATTGCCCTGATACCATTTCCCACACTCCCCACTCGTGTGGCACTCTGCACCATCTCCTGCAGTTGTGGCACAATCCCCAGCTTGCACTTGCAAAAGCCGACTTTAGTTCTGTACCTAGACATCTCCCTCCACTCAGTTACCCGTCACTCGCAGCATCTCTCCTCGTTTCATCCTCACACCGGTGCGCCCCCTCTCTCATCATGTTTAAAGCTCACTTTGTTTAACCGGGTGAGAACTAAAGAGATCGGGAAAAAAATTTGCAAGAGTGACTTCTAGGTCACCAAAATAAGAACGGGGAAAACGTACAAAAAAACAATTACCGCAGGGGTTGGCAACCTGCGGCTGCGGAACCGCATGCAGCTCTTTAAGGACTGCTTAATGACGTTATTTGTTAAGGACCACCGTCTCGTATTCACCACACAGTGCATTGCGGCTCTTCGTGTTATTTTGGTTGCCGACCACTGAACTATTAGGAGATGAAACCATTGCAAACATAACTCCCCCCCTGCGCTCACCAGCTCAGACAGATTACCGCGTTAACTTTTACCGATTACAACTTTGATCGTGCTGTTTGTTGCCGGCTGCTTAATGTTTTGGGCCTTTGAGCCTGGGGTCAGCAAACAGTGTTTAAAAAAAGACGTGATTGTGGACACGGCGCATGCTTTTTAAAGTTGAACTGAAAATGACTAATTGTTTTGTCATCCAAAAATATGAAAGTGTCCCAATGGAAATGAACATTATTTGCAACATTGTTACCGCGATTTATTGTCATAATGCCACACAGTGAAAAACAGACAAATACTCCAAAAGCATGCGTGAAGGATACGTAAGGATTTGTTTCAGATGGGAGCCCATTGAGCTCAAAAATGTGTAGTAGGTCAAAATATTGACCATGAATATCTCCACAGACGGTAATCATGTCACCCTGTTCCAGAAAGAGACAAGTCATTCAAACATGATCACAAAAAAGCCAAGTGAGCCAAGTGGTAATTCAGACATTACTATTTTGGTGTTGTGATTGCTGCCTAAACACATGAACAGAACCTATGACGCTGGTTCAATAATGTGTGATAGAAGTGTAACTTCTTTGCCAAATCAATTGTAATGCATACACCACTTGGTAATGCTGCTGGGATGCCAGTGGGGTAAAAACACAAACAACAACAAAAACTCACATTTGTCAATAACTGCCTAAACAAAAACAAACAAATATATAATAGGGGACATTTTGGACAATGGTGATTTTTCATAGCACATATCATAGCTCAGGTACTATGAAGGACTATTATCCGAAACAGTCACCGATTATACATATTTATTTTAAGGCAGCGTTATTGACGAAACGTGTCAGCTTTTTTGTTGTAATTTATGATCACCCACACATACCTGAATATGTTTAGGTAAGCTGTCCACTCTCAGCTGCAATTTAATTCACTGCACTGGCACAACTTAACATAATTGCGTCACTACTTTACAGTAAATGTAGTGCTATGGAAATTCCTCACATTGCCCAGCAGCTGGGGGCATTCAACTGTTCGTTGAACTAAAATAAGATGAGTGCGAACTGGATTAATAAAAGCATATCGAACCACCCCAAACATGTGCGTATACCCTTAAGAGAGACAATACTCATAACACTTTCAGAACTGCCATAAATGACTGCTTTTCTGCGAACTAAACATTTTTTTATTTAATAGCAAAAATAATCGACAATTTTAAACAAAGCAGCAAGACGAAGTAAATGTTTATTTGTGCACAATTTACCTAATGTACCAGTCCTAATGTGTAATTGCAATGTGTGATTTTTGTACCAATATTTAAAGCAGCTATTTCTTCCTGCCAAGTCACCCATGAGTTTAATATCAGTTTCAGTCTCAACAATATTTTCCTTGATTTCATTTCTGTTATCACCAATTTTACCCTAAATATGTTATAGCCACCTATCGATGCAGAGGGCAGCAGTTAAAAAAATTGTAAAATAAATGGCATAGCTCATTTTAGGACACCTAAAGTAAATTAAACGCAGACTTCTCCCACCAACCCATTCAGGCATTGCATTTTTTTGTGAATCTCAGGACAAATCAGAACACTGACATAAATAAACAAACATTTTGACTACTGCTGATGGCAAACTAAAATCCCCGACTAAGCATAGATTATGTTTTTTATAACACTAGATGGTGCTAGTACATTACGTCTGAGAATATTACGGGGTTAAATCTGAGGAATTGTTGATCATAGCTTTCTGGCGGATCATGGAGCCCAGATATGATCACTGTGTGCTTGGTGTATTGGTTTACATAACTCGCTAAACTCAATCCACAATACTCAACTGAATATTTGTCGTAAAATAAAAAAAACCTTTCATTGTACATTTTTGTAAATTAAGTGCCCTTTTATGCTGAGCTAAAGAGCAGGGTAATATGTTGGATTCCATTACAGTAGGTGCTCCTGCTGCAAGCAAACGGTACCCACAAATGTGAATGAATAGGGGAAACAAAACTTACATCTTTTATTGTCACCTCCACCAGACTGGGTAACTTCTGAAGACTTTGCTTGACCTGGAGGAGGATCTATGGAAGTAAACACAAGCAAAATATAAACCAATGCACATGCGGCAGTAAACATTATAGTATATGTTTGCACATTCCTCTACGCGGCTTTGATGCCCGTATTAAACATCCATCTTGGAAAAGGCACAATGTGTTTACATTTGGTGTTTGGCAAATACTTATATTTGAAATGTGATGTAATGTTATTTTTTTATTTCCATACTGCAATTTCATTTACAAAAAATATGAATAAAAAATGGAATACCTTTTATATTTCGAATATACATTTTCATACATTGCATTGTTTGCATTATGGTACATTGGCATTCACTTATTTGTAAATTATGAAACAGTAAGGTGGCTGATAATGTGTCCTAACATTCTTGTCACTGCAGGCTATTAATAAAGGGAAGGTACACCCATCTTGGATGAGTCCTGAGCACTCAGTCCAAGCGTGGCTAAATGAGGATGAGGTTAACATCATAATTAAAGTCAGAGACAGAAAGCGTTTCAGTATGGATAACCGATTCAACATCCTGACTTCAAGGCCTCAAGTTGTGAGAGAAGAAAGTCTTCTGTTGGGAAGGATAAGCATTTGGAGGGCTCAGGTTCCGCTCAGCAAGCCAGGAGTTTGCTCACAAAAGCGACCACTCCTCTGCGTGGATGTGTAACATACTCTCTGTACAAACAGTTGCACAGATAACACGGTATAAATAATAGCAGACTTCCGAAACCGACCTTGTATTTGAATCGCAAAGAGCAATGCAAGGGCTTTTCCTCTGATAACCGAGCGGTCCAAGGCACGCATTCTTGTGTAACGCGCGCGCGGGCGCACACACACACACACGAGGTTGACCACTGGCACTAAAATAAAAAAATGTTGCTGCTTATCTACTTGATGCAATATCGTGCAGACAACGCACAAAACCATCAATCCCACACATTTCTCCAGCATTCATGCGCTTATAGACATTTCGATCATTATGCTGTGATAAATGTCCAAATGATAAGCCACTTTGTTGAGCTATCATTTGTGGCTAGATCGCTTTGATAAATAAGTCAATACCTCAGTGGGTTTAACACGTAGGCTTTTGCGACCAAAATCATCCATAATACAGTTTTATTTTGGGTTAGATCGCGTAAATACCTCAGTGGGTTAGATCGCGTAAATACCTCGGTGGGCTTTGTCTGGCAGGATGGGGATGGTTTAGTGTTTTATTTGTTTGTCTTTGGGTGATTTGTTTACCTTTCTTGTACTTTCCACTATTATCATGTTTTTTTGTAATGTTTGTTGTAACAGTCTTACCTCCCCTGACTGGACATCTATGAAAGAGCTTTATAGCTTATCGGATTCCTCCAGTAATATAAATAAATATTCTGATTCTGAGCAAGTCCGGTGGCCAGTGTGCTCTGCACCATATTATTTTGTATGCAGCCCAAGTCTGCATTCCCAAATGTAACCGGTGTCATTTGTAGAGCATTAGATAAATGAAAACCCTTTGATGTCTTTTGCCGATGTACATCATTGCATACCAGCGCCAAATTCACATTTTAAAAACTACCGCAGAAAATTTTCTACAGTTATCCCATCCTAACTATTGGAGAGTAAAGTCACGTTGAAGGGAAACAACAAAATAATAAAATATATAAAACAATAAAAATTCTCACGACGTTTCGACCATAACACAAACGGTCGTCTTCAGGTGTGTTGGTTGCATAACGTGACTTTACCGAAAGAACTAAGAATATGAATTACTGCAGTCACGAAAGCTTTAAATCAAAATTTATTGGAGAGTAATCAAGGTCTCCCTCACAAAATAGGAAATTAATCTCAGTCACCTTCATTATGGTTATATAATTGGCAATGACTTTAAATGTGTAGCCTTACACATGTCATCACTATGTTCGGGACCACTGATAACACTTGCTTTTAAAGAAAACTATAAATGTCATGAAGTTATATTTTTTGCAGTGGCAATGTTCAGAGCACTACCAATTTGCATATTGCAATTATGATTTGCTAGCTATTTTCATTTCACTTATCTGTTATTGTTCATCATTGATTTATTTTACTTGTGGCGTTTGTCGGAGAAGCAGCGTTGTTGTTGTTGTTGTTGAAACCCGATGTAAGAGCTTCTTGGCAAACAGGGTACTTCAAACTAAACTGAACCGAACTGAAGCATAGGAGAAGAATGGGCGAGGTGGCTAAGAGTAATGAGCCTGGTATGAATCCAGCCATAGACACGCAATAAAACTAGGTTCTCACATGTAGTTAGTTGGGAGTTGGTCGCAAATACCCAACTTTGTATTTTGCACTTCATTTTTGGTTAAATGCCAGGTATGAACATTTAAACTATTGATTTGATAAATATTTCTCGATGGCACTGCGTGTCAGTGTGCACTCTGTTGTGTGGATAAAAAAAAAATACTTTCAGAAATTTCAACTCTAACACAAAGCGGGTGCATTTCTAGATGTGAGACGTCTGAATGGAAGTCTATTCCTCTTCTTGGTTCTTTCGGTAAAGTCACGTAGAAGGGAAAGAATAAAATAATACAAATAAAGCAATAAAATAATTGTATTTCTTTATATTATTTGAATTTTATAATGTTGTGTTTTTTATTATTTTATTATTTCTCTTCTACGTGACTTTACTGAAAGAGCCAAGAAAATGAATCCCTGCAGTCACGAAAGCTTTAAATCGAAATTTAAGTCTATTCCTGTCATATCAGGGCAATAGCAAATACGAAATCGAATTGGGGTTGAAAAAGAATACAATGATTGATAAGGGACGTTTTAATTTTGCCCTGCAATAAAGATAACAAATTTTGAAACGGTCATTCCTCTCCATTATTGTTCACAAATGTTTTCCTGATACAAAGGATCAACCAGTGTTCTGCCTGAATTAGCTCAATATTTTTACGATGAAATCGACATTTGGGGGGCAAAGGGGCCAATTTTGTAAGAGGTAGAATACAATCATTTTAACCGTGCAGGTAGCTACCGACTTAGTGCTGCTTGGAAGCGAATCATCAAATGATACATTGTTTAAATGCATGCCTATACAGGTCACAGTACTTCAATAGGGATTACCTTTGGTACGGCTATTTTAGCACACACAATCGACAGGATGTACAAGTAAAATGTGCTTGCATAAATAACGTACAGTGAGGGAAAAAAGTATTTGGTCCCCTGCTGATTTTGTACGTTTGCCCACTGACAAAGAAATGATCAGTCCATAATTTTAATGGTAGGTTTATTTGAACAGTGAGAGACAGAATAACAACAAAATCCAGAAAAACGCATGTCAATAATGTTATAAATTGATTTGCATTTTAATGAGGGAAATAAGTATTTGACCCCCTCTCAATCAGAAAGATTTCTGGCTCCCAGGTGTCTTTTATACAGGTAACGAGCTCAGATTAGGAGCACACTCTTAAAGGGAGTGCTCCTAATCTCAGCTTGTTACCTGTATAAAAGACACCTGTCCACAGAAGCAATCAATCAATCAGATTCCAAACTCTCCACCATGGCCAAGACCAAAGAGCTCTCCAAGGATGTCAGGGACAAGATTGTAGACATACACAAGGCTGGAATGGGCTACAAGACCATTGCCAAGCAGCTTGGTGGGAAGGTGACAACAGTTGGTGCGATTATTCGCAAATGGAAGAAACACAAAAGAACTGTCAATCTCCCTCGGTCTGGGGCACCATGCAAGATCTCAGCTCCTGGAGTTGCAATGATCATGAGAACGGTGAGGAATCAGTCCAGAACTACACAGGAGGATCTTGTCAATGATCTCAAGGCAGCTGGGACCATAGTCACCAAGAAAACAATTGGTAACACACTACGCCGTGAAGGACTGAAATCCTCCAGCACCCGCAAGGTCCCCCTGCTCAAGAAAGCACACATACATGCCCGTCTAAAGTTTGCCAATGGACATCTGAATGATTCAGAGGACAACTGGGTTTAAGTGTTGTGGTCAGATGAGACCAAAATGGAGCTCTCTGGCATCAACTCAACTCGCCGTGTTTGGAGGAGGAGGAAAGCTGCCTATGACCCCAAGAACACCATCCCCACCATCAAACATGGAAGTGGAAACATTATGCTTTGGGGGTGTTTTTCTGCTAAGGGGACAGGACAACTTCACCGCATCAAAGGGACGATGGACGGGGCCATGTACTGTCAAATCTTGGGTGAGAACCTCCTTCCCTCAGCCAGGGCATTGGAAATGGGTCGTGGATGGGTATTCCAGCATGACAATGACCCAAAACACACGGCCAAGGCAAAGGAGCGGCTCAAGAAGAAGCACATTAAGGTCCTGGAATGGCCTAGCCAGTCTCCAGACCTTAATCCCATAGAAAATCTGTGGAGGGAGGTGAAGGTTCGAGTTGCCAAACGTCAGCCTCGAAACCTTAATGACTTGGAGAAGATCTGCAAAGAGGAGTGGGACAAAATCCCTCCTGAGATGTGTGCAAACCTGGTGGCCAACTACAAGAAACGTCTGACCTCTGTGATTGCCGACAAGGGTTGTGCCACCAAGTACTAAGCCATGTTTTGCAGAGTGTTCAAATACTTATTTCCCTCATTAAAATGCAAACCAATTTATAACATTTTTGACATGCGTTTTTCTGGATTTTTTTGTTGTTATTCTGTCTCTCACTGTTCAAATAAACCTACCATTAAAATTATAGACTTATTATTTATTTGTCAGTGGGCAAACGTACAAAATCAGCAGGGGATCAAATACTTTTTTCCCTCACTGTACCCCTCTAAGGAACAAAAAGGGAGGATTTCTCCACAAATCTGGCTGTCGCCTGATGAAGCTAATGCCGTGCTCAAGATTGTAAATGTTGTGGCTTTTGCTCTCCAACAAACAGGTGTGCTGTACTAGTAATGAATTGGCACGTTCTGTTCAAGTGACAAACCTTACTTATTGGCTCTAATGGGTGGTGGCGGGTTTAACGACACATTTATATATTTACGCATCTAAACCAAAAATACCTGTATTATGGATATTGGTCGCGAAAACCTACGTGTTAAACATACAACTGGGACGTTATTGTAAAGTACCGGCGGTGTGTTGGTGAGCAGTCGTTTACCTGATAGGCATATTTCCTGTGCAGTTTTTTTTGATCCTTGAACCATTCAATGAGCTCCTTCATGAACGTGATCGTCACTTGGCCATTATCTACCTTCGGTCCGGTGTAGTCATCCTCAATGGCTGAAATGAAACCCATGGGGCAAAACACATTCACGAGTCATTTCACCATGCAAGTGTCATTTGCTTACATTTTCATGGAATTGGCAATGTGACTGCAAGTCGTACATTAGGAATGTGCATTATCTTTAACAACTAACTCTACAGCAGACGATATACCTCTTTGGCAATTCCTCAAACCAATATATAAGACGCTGCTGAACTTAAAACGGTCACCTCATTGACTGCGTCGCACGAACAGGCTTTTAACCTGCTTAGAAAAAAATAAATTTACTAAAAAACGGTAATTGCCTTAATCCGTAAGCTCAAGAGGTGCTGTCCGTCCACAGCACTCAAGCGCTGTGGTTCAATGACTCTTAAGCCATAAGACTTTTCTGCGGCAAAGCTTACCCATGCTATCCAGGTCCAAGGCATCGGCCACAGACTTCTTGCTGTCGTCGCTCGCTATGGCGCGTTCAAACGCCTTGCGCTTCACGATCTTGCTGCACTCCTGGTACTTGAGCTTGGCGTCCTTGTCGTTGGGTTTTACTTTCACCACCTGAACGGGTGACACGATTAAGAAATGAAACGAGGCGATTCAAAGGAATACATTTTTTTCGGAATCGTTTCATAAATTATGAAAGCGATCCACGTAGGGAAAATCCATGAAGGTGGAAGATTTCGTTTTCAATTGACATATGTCGATAGTTCTCAGTGACACTGGTGGAACAATCAACCGCACCAGAACATCAACAGGCCGATGAGCACATCTCCTGCATGAATGGAAATTAAAACAAGCCACAGTTGTGCGATTGTGGCCATGCAATGCAAACTATGGGCCATACAGTAAACCACTGTAGTCTGCGCTCCTTCAAATGCAGCAACAAAGCTTCACCAACTCTCCTGAAGCCCTCTCGCAGCGAGCAGACCTCGCCATTGCCACTTAGCTCCAGAATATACTGGCACACACAAGAATAGAATTGACACAAACACAGTAAACGTATGACATGGTATAAAAACATTTTCAAAGTATATACTTATGAATGGCACAGCTTTGTGCTATCAGGGAATCTGGAAATAAAACAAGGCCAAGAGTAAAGTAAGCTTTAAAAAAATAACTTTCATCCTTCTTTCTTCATACTTTATTTAGCCTTAACCAGATACTAAGCGAACCTGAAAATAAAATAACTCGAAGGGGAAAAAACATGCATAGAAAACTTGGAGTAAACTACCAACAGTTTTAAAAGTCATCCATGGAATGGAAATTTTAATAAAATTCTCACTAAAAATATAAAGCAAAAAACGACTATAAATGTACAAAATCTGAAGCAACTTAATCAAACCGAAAAATCATGAAATGGGCCGTATCAATTTCTAAACAATTAAAATAATTACATGCATTTCTGCCAAATTACATTACAAAAATAACAATGGTCTACAAAGAAAGAAAAAACAAATGAAGCTACAAATGTCTTCAATACAACTGAAAGTAATTGCCCTTGGGATAGTGACAATAAAGGATTAATCTTACCAACATCAAAAGGTCTGCCTGTGAACTGTCATAATTCAATAGATGTGAACGCAATTGTGTAAATAGTGTACACAGACCAATGATAATGCTCCCTGGTCTGTGTACACATCACTCTCTTGTCTAACAGTATGCCAGTGTAACATGGTTTTGTACCGATACTATATACAATAAAACTAATGTAAAGACTATTCAATAAATAAAAACTTGTTTACCTCCTTTGCATATTTAAAAACGTATGTTTGTTACAACTGTACTTGTTTTACCCAGGTCTCTATGGAAACAGAAACTTTCGGTTTCAGTGTGTTCTATTCTGGTTCATAAAGGTCATCCCATCTGGCAAATAAAGGTCATCTGGTTATGAAGGTCATTGTTTTTTGACATAGTGGCAAGGTTTCACGCAAAGTCGTTGATAATTTAGTCGTTAAATTACAACTGTTTGCAAATGCAGTTTTCATCGTTCAGCTCTCAAATAGTATTTATAAATATTTCCCTTCCAATGGAGATTGCTGGGAGCTAAATAAAGATGGTGAGCTGACAAAGAGCCAGTGACTCCTCTGTATGCTCATGGAAGCAGTAATAACATACAGTGAGGGAAAAAAGTATTTGATCCCCTGCTGATTTTGTATGTTTGCCCACTGACAAAGAAATGATCAGTCTATAATTTTAATGGTAGGTTTATATGAACAGTAATTGACAGAATAAGAAGAAAAAAATCCAGAAAAACGCATGTCAAAAATGTTATAAATTGATTTGCATTTTAACGAGGGAAATAAGTATTTGACCCCTCTGCAAAACATGACTTAGTACTTGGTGGCAAAACCCTTGTTGGCAATTAAAAAGGTCAGACGTTTCTTGTAGTTGGCCACCAGGTTTGCACACATCTCAGGAGGGATTTTGTCCCACTCCTCTTTGCAGATCTTCTCCAAGTCATTAAGGTTTCGAGGCTGACGTTTGGCAACTCGAACCTTCAGCTCCCTCCACAGATTTTCTATGGGATTAAGGTCTGGAGACTGGCTAGGCCATTCCAGGACCTTAATGTGCTTCTTCTTGAGCCACTCCTTTGTTGCCTTGGCCGTGTATTTTGGGTCATTATCATGCTGGAAATATCCATCCACGACCCATTTTCAATGCCCTGGCTGAGGGAAGGAGGTTCTCACCCAAGATTTGATGGTACATGGCCCCGTCCATCGTCCCTTTGATGCGGTGAAGTTGTCCTGTCCCCTTAGCAGAAAAACACCCCCAAAGCATAATGTTTCCACCTCCATGTTTGACGGTGGGGATGGTGTTCTTGGGGTCATAGGCAGCATTCCTCCTCCTCCAAACACGGCGAGTTGAGTTGATGCCAAAGAGCTCCATTTTGGTCTCATCTGACCACAACACTTTCACCCAGTTGTCCTCTGAATCATTCAGATGTTCATTGGCAAACTTCAGACGAGCATGTATATGTGCTTTCTTGAGCAGGGGGACCTTGCGAGCGCTGCAGGATTTCAGTCCTTCACGGCGTAGTGTGTTACCAATTGTTTTCTTGGTGACTATAGTCCCAGCTGCCTTGACATCACTGATAATATCCTCCCGTGTAGTTCTGGGCTGATTCCTCACCGTTCTCATGATCATTGCAACTCCACGAGGTGAGATCTTGCATGGAGCCCCAGGCCGAGGGAGATTGACAGTTCTTTTGTGTTTCTTCCATTTGCGAATAATCGTACCAAATGTTATCACCTTCTCACCAAGCTGCTTGGGAATGATCTTGTAGCCCATTCCAGCCTTGTGTAGGTCTACAATCTTGTCCCTGACATCCTTGGAGAGCTCTTTGGTCTTGGCCATGGTGGAGAGTATGGAATCTGATTGATTGATTGCTTCTGTGGACAAGTGTCTTTTATACAGGTAACAAGCTGAGATTAGGAGCACTCCCTTTAAGAGTGTGCTCCTAATCTGAGCTCGTTACCTGTATAAAAGACACCTGGGAGCCAGAAATCTTTCTGATTGAGAGGGGGTCAAATACTTATTTCCCTCATTAAAATGCAAATCAATTTATAACATTTTCGACACGCGTTTTTCTGGATTTTCTTGTTGTTATTCTGTCTCTCACTGTTCAAATAAACCTACCACTAAAATTATAGACTGATCATTTCTTTGTCAGTGGGCAAACGTACAAAATCAGCAGGGGATCAAATACTTTTTTCCCTCACTGTATCTCCTTCTAAAGAAGTTAATTATGTTTAATAATATGACCTCTCAGTTCAGCGGACATTCCAGTGTAATTGTAGGGCTATTTCACAACCCCAAAAAGGCAGAAGCAGCACCAATTATTCCAAGTAGATGCCTATAACAGCCCCACGGCCTTATACATGTATCACCATACATAGTTATGATGTGATTTTCAAATTTATTTGCAGATTTAAATGCAACACTACAGGTGGTAGAATGCTGATATTTGGTAAATTGTGAAAGTCCCATGGTTTAAAAGGTTGTCCAAGATTGCTTCTAAATAAATCGATTTGCATGAAGAGCAAATTGCTTGATAAGTGGCCAAAAAACTTAAACCATAAAATATTTTACGAGCAATAACACGGTAACTACCAATTATAATTTTTTCCCGAGTCACATCAAATGACTTTTGGCAATCTGGATTTAATTCCCAGTTTCTACAAACTATTCACCAAGTAAACATCTGGGTTCTAATTACCACAGAGCACCAACACCGAATAAGGCAAATGAGAATCTGGGAAAGCACAATAAGACACGGGTGGGCAAACGGCAAATGGAACGGTGCAAAAAGAGTGAGAGTGCAAACGCAGCCAGGGAATGATAAGTCCTAATTAAATTGGCAGCGCACACAGACAGAAACCCATCTCTGGCACGGTCACAAGCAGGAAGCTCCACAGGCAGCAATACTGCGTGGTTCCTTCGGCAGGGAGTGTGAGAGCACTATTCACAAACGCCCATGGAAAATCCAACAGAAGATGCTAACGTGAAAGTCAAGGTCGTGGCGGCATACCCTTTGTAAGAATGTGTGTAGAATAGTCTTAACTACTGGCTCCTAATGTGTTCCGTGATTTGTGACTGCAGAGCATATGTTTGATATTGAAACTGCATTACAAGTCACTCGCCTGTTCAGAGAGCTGTCATGTGCCAGCAATCAAGTAATGATCCAGTAGCACCATGCTCATTTATTCAATTCTAGTGCACTTGGTCACAGAAGACTGCCTACATTTGAAGTATACTTTTCCAATTATGCTTTTTTGTTCTATGTACACAAGTACAGCAAATGGCACACTTTCCTGCACACGTTTGGAATACAGTCTATAACATGCAGGTGGCATGCAAAGTTGCATCACTCCTAATGCTGAAAGCTTAACAAAAAAAAAAGCCTTTGCTCTGCAACTAGGTCCAACACCACAAAAGTGGAGTGTAGCTCTCAGAGATACAGTCTTGTTCATTTATATGTGTAGTGAGTCCAACTCAGTTGCAAGACGTCTTGGGAGCAACACGTTTCATTAAACTCTTAGCACAACATACTCCAAGCTATTAACACAACATACTCTCAGGTGGGGAACACCCAACTAACTACGCTACAGCGAAACTAGACACGGTTCCACTATCCCGGTCCGGACCACAAGCTGGGTCCCGGACCGCATGGCTGGAGGCTTCTTCAGGCTTGACGTGGATCTCCTGCCTCTCCAACAGTAAGAACTAGAGCCCCTCTCAGGGCCCCCCTTATATCGGGCCGGGCTGGGGCTGGCTCCGCCTCACGCCCCGCCTTCTCGATCTCTCTCGCCCTTGCCCGAAGGCTCTCGAGAGTTCTTCTTGGACTATGTGATCACCCATTGGCCCCCTCCACCGGTGGCCCCCCTCCAGTATTGTCCGGTCACATGTCCCCAGAGCAGCCAGAGTATCATGCCCCCAACGTAGCTCTAGCTGGCTGACACTCTCTCGCTCTCTCAACGGGAGCCCACACCGCATGCTGTGCGTGGTGCCACCGCGCTTAACCAGCGCTCGCCCAAGCCCCCACTAGGGCTGGTACTACACCCCGTATCCGGGGTGTACACACAACAGTAGACATCCCGCCGTGGCCTTGCAAGCCCGGCACCACACAGTGACATTCCCAGTCACTACATGTGTATATTTATTATGAATAAAGTCCGCCGACTCACTGATAACTTAACGAGCAACAGCGTGTGACTATATACACTTGAGTAACTTAGGCAACTCTATTCTGAGACAACATAACTCTAGCCTTCCAAGACTACAAGGTGCCCACTCCAGGATGATGAAGACGACCCGCTCCAAGATGACGACGGCAGATCCCCCACAACAGCAGCCCAGAGCCCCGGTTCACACCGGCTTTTATCCCCGCATGACCCGGCCACGCCCCTATTCCCGAACCCTCTCTCACCGCACCTGGCCCTGTCTGTCTCTGCCCTTATTACAATTTACGACCGTTAGGTCCCGTGCTTCCCCTCACGCGACCCTGTCAAAGCTTGTCGCATCAATCGTCATTAGCGACCACTTAGGTCCCACATTACCCTAACGTGACCCTGTCTGTTACCGTTACGTTAATTAGTAACCATAGCCACGGGGAGCAGTACTGTCCCTACATCACCCCGTACTGTCCTTTCAAAAGTAATGTGAATAAACGCAAAATGTAGTCCTGCAATTGATTGCTCACATCACTGTTGCAGGAAGGGCTTCCACTGCTGGGCATCTCTGTCCACTCTTCCATGCTGGCCTGACATGTTTGAAGAGGTGTAAGTACCCGCACTTTACCCCACCACATGCACTCTGCTGATCGACAAACTGCAGTGCACCCACTTATACTGCTGGGTAGACTGAGGTGGGGATGAATGTGCCCCATTTTTTCAGGCTTAGGTTCATGGAGGACCAGGCCTATCCCAATCCCTCTTGATCAATCCCTCGTTTTCCTGGATCAAAACTACACCACCACTTACAAAAGTCCAAGTCTTAATTTCAAATTATTGTCATGCAAAGTACAATTTTATAATTGCTGTAAAGGGCCTTGCTAAAAGGCGCTATATAAATCTCATTAAGATAAGATAAGCTGGGTCCATTAGTTCAAGGCCGGCGAGCACTTTTAGTTTTCCGAAGCCTCAACATAGGACGCAAACCTCGGTCTCACAGGCCCCCCCACCCAGCGCGGGCCCCCCACCCTCTCACCGTCTCGTAGTCCTTGAGCGCCTCCTTGAACTTTCCCAGTGCCATTTTGGCGGTGGCGCGCCGGTAGTAGCCCTTGATGTACGCCTTGTCAAGCTCGAGAGCGCGCGTCGCGTCCGCGAGCGCATAGCCGTAGCACTCGGTGCGCAGGTACGACAGGCTGCGATTGCCATAGTAGATGGCGTTGTCGGCGCACAGTGCGATGGCGTCCGTGTAAAACTTGATGGCATTGTCGTAGTCCTTCACTGCAAGGGGTATTGGGAACAGATGGCACACGGGGCAATAATTTATACACATTATTGTATGGACTCTCAATTATCCACACTTAAGTTTACTGCACTTGAAATCAACTAAAGCATTTTAAGAAATCCCACATTTTAAGAAGGAACAATACGTCTTTACCATGTTACGTGGGTCTTCACAGTTGCGCTGTATTGCTCTTCGACGCGGCATGACCCTAAACACCGGTGATCCTTTATGTTTGTTCAGTTTACGATGGGGTAGGTGGTACACAAAGGGTGGACGAAAGCTGTATATCCCAAGAATGCTGCCATGCATCTTGCAAGGGGCAGCTGGCCAGCCTCGTGGTCAGCATGCAGTCGTGGAATTATCTGTCTAATTCCTGCCACTTTCATGTAATTTAGCTACAAAGTTTATGTAATTTTTCTAAAAATTATTCATAAAAGTTCAGCGCATACCATCTTTAAGTGTCTTCAAGCTTGAAAAAATCTGGGTGACGGCCATCCCATTTAGTGGCCCTTTACCAGTGGTGGAAATGCCAGTCTCATCGCAGGATACAGTCTCTCACGAATAAAACCAATGTTGACTCCTCATAAAGCAGTAATCATTTTATTGTCCATGGAGGAACAAGATAGCTCCCGATACAAATTTGAACCCGCCATATTGCGATTGTCGATTTGGTCGTCGACAATAACACTAATACACCAAACTAAAAATAATAATACTTAACCGCTTTTGGCTCTCACACGAGTAATTTAAGAGCATTAATTATGTATTTAATAAAATAAAAACAGCTAGTTAACAGGACAGTTCATTAAGTGTGCTTACACTTTTCATATTTACTAGCTTGTTTGCCTGTCCTAGGACGGAAGCTGAAATATTAAAGATGTACATTTACGTATCTTGTGTGAGTGTGAAATTTTTGAGAAAATGTTGCAAAAAAACAATTTTCTTAACTTATTAAATGAAATTAAGGACTTTGGAAGATTTCTCAGTATACGATATTTTGTGTGAATCTCTTATCACTGTTCAAAAGGTTTCCCTGCAGTTGCCTATTCTTGATTAACATTTTGATCCGCTGAGGATTTTTAGATCTAGACAGAGCCACGTACAACTGTCCATGGCAAAATACGGGCTCATTGAGATAAATACCCAAATTTTTAAAAGTCTGACCCTGGGACTTGTTGATCGTCATCGCATACGCAGGAATTATTGGAATTTGTCGTTGTTGTAGTTCGAAAGGAAGAGTGACATCACGTGGAGCTAGGTCGATTCTCGTGATGAAGACGATCTCGTGATGAAGACGATTTGACCATCAAACGCGTTCCATTGCAAAGACCGTTCTTAGGTTTAGATTTCGCAGCAGCAAGATGATAACGCCTTCAGTGCCAATGTGTGTGGCGGCATTCCTGAAGGCGTTTAATCGTGAAGAAATTCTGGAGGGTAATTCAATGCGTCCGCAGGATCTTCCGACACGATTGAGTCAGACCTGTAATACATTAGATCTCCACACAGCTGTGTGATGATGTTTCTGTTCATTTTGAGTGTCCTTGTTGGTAGGTGCCAGAATCTTTCGCAAGCTCTTCGGCAGGCATGTGTTGCAAGATCTGACCTAAATTGCGGTGACCAGATCATCAACCATTATCATTTAAGGTGGTTTTTCAATGAAACCTAACGGCACACCAGATATCTCCGGCAAAGTTCCCAATCTAACTTTCATCAGCCAATTGTTATGCTCATTTTCACCACCACTCTGAAGGTTTGCCGTGAGAGTCAATTTGTTAAACTGCTGCCATAATACGCTGAATTTGATGCAGAACTCAATGACATCAACACGGGTGTCTGAAGCCGCCACCGATTACGACAACTTTTCCACCAAACGGCCATTGAATCTGCATGATGTTGTGCAACAGCTGATCGATGCATCGAAGGCCATGCTTTGTCAGCATCGTAATTTCATCAATGATGATGAGTGAAGCTTGTCGTAGCGTTTCGCCTTCTGGCGAATTCAGTCTCATCGACGAAGAAGATGTGTCAAGGAGGGGAACTGGATGCTTGAATCCGCTGTGCACAGTTCGTCCGCCTTTCAGTAAAGTCGCTGCGATTCCAGTGGTCGCAAAAGGAAGAGTGATTTGACCTTTTCCACGAACAAATGAGACCAGCGTGGAGTACAGAAAAGCCTTTCCAGAGCCGCCAGGATCATCTAAGTAGAAAAGTCTGTTCTGGACATGCTCATCGTCATCAGCTCTCATTATTGCTGTAAAAGATTCAAACTGTTGCCCATTAAGGCAGCAAATTCTCGTTTCAGCTTCTTGTTCTTCTTGAACTGCGTCATATAGCTGAGCTTCGATTGGATGTACCATCAGTTGCAGAATACCAATTGATGCGCAAGACAATCCATGTTGTTTGAGAATCGCGTTGATGCCGTGCAGAGCCATGTTCAATGCAACATTTCCATCATGACGCCGTAGATAATCCAGCGACATGTCAAATGAATGCTTGTTCCACAACAGGTGAGCATTTGTTGGCATACAGAAGCAGCAAATGTACGCAAATGTCTGTCGCATTTGATATGTCGCGGACTCCTGAATGCATCGATCCCATTCTTCGTCTGAATCCAGCAAATGACGATGAAAGGCAGCTTCCTTTAATGTGTTGTAAACGACGCCATCGACGGTTCTGAGGAATTCAAAACTGGTAACGCTTTTGACGTGCAGCAAGAGCATCCTCAGATAGAATCGCTCCTCATCTTTGATTCCAACAGTGTACAATCTCGAAATGATCTTAGTGCCTCCACTTTGTCGCTACTTCCAGTTGTTGTTCGAAAGATGAAGGCAGAATAACAGGAACTCCGGCTTGTCCTCCAACGTTATGGGCATTCTCCATATGATCGGCAAGTCTTTGATAAAGCTCAACTCGTAATTTCTGCTGATATTGGCAAATGTAATTCAAATAATTTGCTTCAACCTGCAGGTACGAATCGACAATCCACTGTTACGTGAGCTTTCCAGCACTGATTTGTGGGTTGAACGTGCCTCTGATAGCTGTTTGCGCTGCAACATAACGTAATTTGGTGACATTCACTCTCGTTGCATTGACTTGAGCTCCAGCATGAGCCTCACATTGCCAATTTAGTTGCCATCCAGTTTCACCAAACAGATACAACAGCGGATAGGACGTTGCCTCCAAATTTGGTCTCAGAGTGTTCAGATTAATCAAACGCTGTTGGGAGTTGTCTGGATTCTTCGGATACACGCAAATGTCACATTCAAAGGGCGGCTCACCATCGTTGTTCACAAACACCATAGCGATCTCGTTGGCAGTTGGTGCATTGTAGTGATGCTGATCCGAATGACAATCTCGCCAAAACACCAAATTCACAACCAGCGTTGGCCTCGCCTGCAACATTTTCTTCCTGTGCAGCTCGATCTTCTACTTCGCGAAGCATGGTGTATGTGTTGGCGAATCGATTGTGGATTCGAAAGTAGCGGTCAATTTGATCCAGAAGCCATGGATTGCACTGAGCGGTGGCAGGATGATTAGTTCAAATTTATTTTGCTTGTGTGCTGTTGACAACGTCAAGTTGAGCGTATTGTCTTGCTGGACCATTAGTTGGTTCAAGATGGCTTGTCTTGTGCTAAATTTGGCTATGAACCTTGAACACGCAAGGACCGCCTCAATGGAAGTCAACAACTTTAGCTCCCATCAATGCAAACGACAATGCTCTGTTGTATGAACGAACATTTTCATGAAAATTTCTGTATAAGGGAGGCTCAGGATTTGATAGCTCATGGAGAAATTGAGGATATTGGACCACGTTTCCATTGGAGTCAATCGGCTTTTCCACTTTCACTTTGCCTTTCCGACAGCAACTTGTGAATTTTCAACCTGATGGCCGCTCTGCAGCAAAATTTCGTGAATCACGGAACTGGCAAACTACATTCCACACACTGCAGTTGTGTTCAATCACTTCAGCTTCCACAAAGTGATTTACCTCAGCACGAACAGCTTGACTATGACGTTCTCGTCCTGCGAGACGATTATCAGTATTGCCTTCTTGCTATCATAGATTTGCTTGAGAAAGAGCGCGAGCTGCACGTCGAGCTTGTGTCCGATCCGGACTTCCTTGTTCTCATTGATTTGCTTTCCTTTCAGCATTCTCTCTCAGAAGTCTGTCCAAAGTTTCTTGGCTCTGGTGAGCTCTCCATCTCTGCTTTCTTTCTCTTTGCAAATGCTGTTTCGTGGCTGCAGTATCTTCGTCCTCCATGATGGTTGGCAATCCTGGACTGATGTATTAAGATCTAATGACATTTTACGCATATAGGTAACTTTTGGTTTTTTTCGGTAAAGTCACGTAGGTAAAATAAAATAAAACAATTAAATCACGACGTTTTCGGAGGCAACACAAGCTTCCGTCTTCAGGTGGAAGTCACAGCAAGATCGCTGCATCAAGTGCTGTGACTGTTCCACCTGAAGACGGAAGCTTGTGTTGCCTCCGAAACGTCGTGATTTAATTGTTTTCTTTTATTAAATTTTACCTACGTGACTTTACCGAAAAAAAACAAAGAGTATGAATCCTTGCAGTCACGAAAGCTTCAAATCTAGAACTGCAAATAGGATTGGCTCTCGCGATTTAGACACTGTATATGGGAGTGAGATCACCAGAGATGCCAAATTTTTACCAAAAAAAGAGCAAAAAGCATTAAAATTGGCAATTTTTTTTTAGCAGGGACTCTTCTGTATCTTGTGCAATTTTCAAAGGTAAACAATCTGTCACAAAATAATGTGAATAAACAATTCACTTCACTTTAGCATTGCTTTCAACTCACCTAAGCTTTGAACTGACAAATTTTTTCTTCCCCGATGGACGATTGATAGAAAAAAGTGAAGTAGACTTCTGATACTGTCAGAAGTCAGTTTTCAATTAAAAAAGACCAAACAGAATCATTAACGTCACAAAAAAATTGACCAGAGCATAATTGTATATTGTGTAACTTTAATGGCAGTGAATCTTGCACAAAACAACGCCATGAAACACCTCACTTCACTGTATTTAACTCGCCTTCAATTTGTTCAAATTCACTGCTCTGATACTTTTTTCTTCTGCTTTTGCTCGCTGGGGTTGAAATACATTTTAATTCGATACAATGTAGAAAATCACCAGGGAAATGTCTATTTTATCATAATTTAGAAGCATAAATTAGACTTTGCTTTTGTATCAAGTGCTGAAAAAATAAATAAAGACACCAAATCCACTTTGTTGCTGCGTATAATTATCTATTTGATTCACTCTCAATAAAGAAACGTCAAATTTAAAGCGAATTTGCATAACAAATGTTTACTTTCCGCTCGACCTTCTTCTGTGTGAGTGTAAATATCCACCCGCTCATGATTATTAATGATGGGGGGGGGGCTCATGTGGAGTGACGTCACGTGCGGCACACACATTCTTGACTCGTTAAATTAGTAATGCCATACAAAAGGGTGAAACAAACTTAAAAATGCACAGTAGAAACAAAGGACATTGCAATTAAGTAATCAAAACATTTCCCACAGCTGAATACCATTTTTTTTACAAAATGTCTGCTGCTGGAATTTTTTTTTCCTTTGCTCAACCAAGGGGCATTCCCTTTGGGCCAATGAATAAAAAACAGGCGCTCAATGTGTGACCCTGTCCCTATCAATCGCCAATCACACATTCACAATTTCAATTGCCACCTAAATCTGGTAGGTGGTGACATCTCTCAGTCACCCGTGGAGTGACTCCCCGTGTGAAATTGTCACTCAATGTCCCCACAACTTGGAGAATCGTTATACAGACATGCCGCCCCGCATATCCCCGAGACAGAAGGCCGACATGCTTCAAGTACCTGCTTTTGCAATACCGAATAAAAACAATTATAGCTACTCCAACATTTATCAAGATTACACATTGAAACAGTGCATATCTTTGCAATATATATCGTACTTTTGTCAATATACTGCCAAACGATGTAATTTAGGTTGTGGAGGTTATATGATCATCCTTTGGTGAAGGTGGGGGAAATATGTGGAAGCACACAAATACAGAACAATAGATTTTGCAGCACTGCCCTCTATAGTCCGAAGAGTAACACCGTAACACCACAAGTCTGTGACGTGTTCAAAATAATTGAGTGGGTGTCCACCATAGATTATAATCTATTGCGGACACCCACTCAAGCACTATCAAGGCTAGAGCTTGCTTATCTTTTGAGATCGGGTACATTGAGTAGTCGTGGCATATATAATTATAAATAATATATTTGATGACATAGATATAATAAATAAATTATGCATATGTAGTCATACTGTATACATAGTTATATTATAGAATCCTATATTATAATATACCTAATTATTTGATATTAATGTCATATCTCTATACGTACTATTTTACGCAAATCTTTGATTGTAATTCCAGTTATGTGTGCTGCAGCCTATCTGCAATTCATTACGTTATTTCAACTTATCTTACTATCCACAAATATGGTACAACGTAGCTTAAATGAAATGAATAAAAAGGTTGAAATGTTTTATATATTTCGCTAGATTATCCCATGGATGCACAATTTCCATGCACTGTATAACGAAAGTTATCCCAACATAGGAAACTATTTGTAGACCCAGTTGGTGATCCACACTATTCTCCCGAGGAACTGGGGTTTAACATCTGTCACCAGACCTGGCATAGTGTTAAAACACACAAACGTTTGGCCTAGACTGCTTGAGTAGGTGTTTTATTCATCATCACATACATATGGTAATAATCTCCCATTAACCAATATATATTTTAAAAGGCCAGTCATAAAACAGTAAAAAGTTTGGAGAGAAAATAATTACATCTTTTACTTGCATTTAAATCAAACAGCCATTTAAAAAAAACCTCTCTTGAGGTTAGCTGTCATCACTTAAGGGGTTAATGTGTGGAAACATGCCCCCCTCCCTAACCCCCGAAGAAATGCTACGCTACACCCATTTAGAAGACTCCGTAGGACCTGAAAGGATATTAAAGATATATTAATTTACTTATCTTAACAGATGTATTGGCAAGCCTGAATTTTGGTAATCCTGCACCATATGACTTGTTCCACGGTTTAAACATTGAGGTTTACAAATTTAAAAAAACGTGAAGACGGAGGAATTAATACTCGTTTCATATCATAAAGATAAATCCCACGCCCTTGCACAACATAGCAGAAAATGAGTAGAATTCTGGCAATATAATTTCACTTGGCTGAAAATCATCAATAGTTCACTTTGTACTGTATTTAGCTGTGCATTCCAAAGGTGTGTTTCTAAGTGCGTTGACATGTTATGGAGGAGGCTCGTGAAGGACGCTGCTACTGGGCAGTTGGAGGTAGTCGCCCTCCAACAACAACAACGGAGGGCGGAGGAGCGACGCTCACAACAACGAGCAGAGCGCTGGGTGGCTAAAACACAGCAAGTTGGCACAGTAGGGGGCACAGGTGGTGCATCGGCCAGTCATCTGAATCAGTCGACCCATGGCACCTGCTGGGTCAGCACCGTGACCTCCTTACCGGCGGGCGTTCGACCCTTCACGTGGCCTTAACGTGCACGTAGCCTGGCACAAGCGCCGTGTATCGAGGTAATGATCACCTCGGATGCGGTCTTGTTTTTGTTAGACTTTTTTTTATCGTGCACGCCAAATATTGACACAATTATGAACTAAATTTTGATTTAAAGCTTTCGTGACTGCAGTAATACATATATATGTTTTATATATATTTTATTGTTTCCCTTCAACGTGACTTTACCGAAAGAGCTAAGAATATGAATTATGAACTAATCAATATAATTTAATACATCCAAAACGGAGACAAAACGGTGCTCACTACATCGAAATCACAAACCGTAGTAGGAAAGTACGTTGTTTACAATGACAGATGAGCATCAAGCCAATAACAGGCAATCGGTTCCAACATACATTAATAATAAGCAAATGAGTTTCACAGCTGTCTACTCGGAGGAAATTCAAGACAAGGGAATTGCTGTAAGTTGGTAATGTGCCGCAAGTCTGTATAAACACTCAACACACATTTAAAGCTTTCGTGACTGCAATGATTCATCGTGACTTTACCGAAAGAACCAAAGAAGAAGACTCAACACAGTTATTTTCCTTCTTAACCTGCTCATTAACGCTGTAAAAGGTTAGGCTTTCGCGCTGTGAACACACACAAAATAAACGTGCTCATGTTTTGTACCGTATTGGTTACCCCGTTGCCCTTAGAAATCTCTACGTTTATCAGACAAAGTCCCATCACAAAGGGAGAAACAACAATCAATACACGTTCTGTTGTTGCCCGTATCCATTCCGGCTGTACGCCGTATGGACCTTAAAACTCTAATTTCCCCGTTCAAGAATATGGGGTAAACCATATGGGTTGACAGCGATCCCATTAGGACGAATAGAATGTTCTAGAGTCAGACGCAAGTCAGTTACGACATCACGGGGAGGGAGGGGGGGGGGAGTGTTAATCTTATCTTACAGAGCGCCTTGCATCCAAGACGCTTTACAAGAATTATAAATGGTACAATGAGGTTAGCTCAAAGTGAAATGGTGGGCACGTGATAGAAGGGGTAAAAGGGGAGAGTGATCGGTTAGGGGGGTTAGTGAGGAACGCGGGGTACACCGAAGGAATTAATGCAGTGGAGGGGAATAATGAGTCGCCTTGTGTGAGAATATTATTTTGTGACTTTACCGAAAGACCCAAAGAATACCAATTCCTGCAGTCGCGAAAGCTTTTTAAGTCAAGATTGTGTGACAATGTTCTTTTTGATTCCGATTCGGCCCGCATAGATTCTGATTCGGCCTGGATTCGCATTGAACACAAGTGGAAGCGCATCGCTAAGTACGCGGCTAAACGGAGCTGACGATGCCAACAGTGGCCATGAAATAACCTCAACCCGGCTATCCGCTTAGTCATGGAGAGCTGGGGGAGATGGGGCCGCATGCCCTTCACGACAGCGCCACGCTATTCTTTTAGCAGAGCAACAACCACCACGTACGTGACCGCACGCACCCACGTGAGGACACTATTTAACCAACCCATAAATAAGACGGCGGTGACAAAATACGCGGTTTGAACATCCGAGTCGCTTTCAATTGAATGAGTCGTTTCAAACCAACAGTCAGTCAACTTTGAAGACTTGTCACAAGGCGGGCGAGTATATTATTAAACATTAAAAAAACCCACATTACTGACAGGGGGTGGACAATGCAAATTTAATATCATCCGTGTACAGTATCGCAATTAACTTCGATATCACTCTCATAATCCACCCTTCCAAAGTCACAACGGAAGACTTCCCGGGCCAACTTAACCGGCGCAGCACGATTACATTTCCTACATCACGTTAGCACGGCCACGGGTCACAAGCCAATCAGACGCGCGTCGATCCTGGCACGGGCCAATCGCGCACCTCGCCGCGTGCGTCACACGCGGCACGCCCCCCAATCGGAGCCCCGCGTTCCCACAAGTCGCGCCTATGCGGACCACGGAATACAGATCCCCGGGCAAACGCGGCCTGGGCCAGCCGAGGCAAGGGCGTGCGCCGTGGCGGCAACAACCGCGTGCCCCGGCGAGCCGCGACCGCTCTCTGCCTCCTCGAGGGCCGCCGCTCATCGCCGGCGTCTCGCCGCAGCTCGTACCGTTGAAGTAGTCGTTAGCCTTGGCCTTGAGGCGTTCCGCCTGCTCTAGCTGCGCGTCTCCCGCTGCCGTCTCCTCCACGCGCGACTCGGCGCTGTCCGCCATGTTGGTAGGGAATAGACCGGGGGAGGGGTGGAGGGGGGCGCGGGCGACCAATCAGAAGCGAGCTCTCACGCGTGCGGCCACAGGCGGCCTCTTCCTCGCGCGCAGCCAATCGGAGGCGAGCTCACATGCGGGGGCAATTTAGGGGCGGGAGTGGGGGCAGTGGGACGGGGGCGGCGGAAGGGGAAGGGCGGGGCGAGGAAGGGGGGCGGGGCGTTCGACGGCGGGGCGCGGAAGGGGCGGGGGGGGGCGGTGGAGGGCGGGGCGGGGGGCGGGGGGCGGGGCAGCCGCGCGGGAACAAAACGCGAGTGCAAAAATGCGACACGTGGTCGCCACGAGGGTCGACCACGTGTTTGGAATTTTTCTCTGTTACGCGGAAATGATCCCGATTTAGGCAATTTACAAGCGAGATGCGTGGTGCGTGAGCAAGGCAACAACAAAAACGCATTGTTGCAGATATTGCCCAACAAGTGAGGTGTGACGGCCTCAGACGTGAGACGCGAATTGAAAATACCACTGTTAACACTGTCATATAACAGCAAGAGGAATCGGGACGTAAACACGCTAGTCGAACAAGTGCAAAAGTGGGAGCAAAAGCGCCCGAAAAAAAAGATATTAGATGCAGATGCATTTAAAGCCTTAAACGAGGTTCGCTTCAAAGGCCTTAACAATACGCAGAAACCTTAAATATATCAACTTAAACCTTAAAACAATGAACTGGATGCCAGGCGAGGTCTCGCATGAATGTGGAGTGTGCCCCTTGTCTTTGCTGTTATTTTACACGTGCACTCTGTACGAACACGAGCCTTTGCCCGACGATCGGCGTGTTCCAATTCCTCCTGTGCCTGAAGCATATTTAATCCCAGCATTGGTAACAGTTGGCCAGCTGCAATGGGGTGGTGTTCCTTCTCTCTGAATCCAGCTGGGACTCGCCAAGTGGCCCCTTGCAGTTCGCGGTATTTTCCACAGCAGCCGGTGACCCACCCAATCGTGGCTCCAAAGCCAGCTCTGTTGTTTGCAGCGACATGTGTTCTCTTATCAGTGATCACTCTCTGCTCCATTCCGCTCTCTTGCCTGCCGATCGAGAAAAGCACTTTCCTCACTAGTATCTCGCTCCTGTGGCACAATTGTTGAATTCCTGTTTTGCTCACTTTTATCTTTATTCCCAGCTAACATCTAAATATCCATACTCATCTAAATATCTTCATCTCTACATAGGATCTGTTCAAACTGCTGATTATTTCAAATGTGCAATGTTTGAGTTTCCGCATCAAAAGTTTGAGCTGCGACGATGCATTATTTCTGTAGCTTGTTTTTTGCTAACGTAAAGCTTACGATTATATCCTGAAGGGCTTAATACCATCCCTGTCATTTCCCCACCCCTTCATAAATTGTAAACAAAAACAACTTTAGAGGCCTTATTCTAGTGGCACTCTACGCCAGTTAAAACACTGAACTCTGTCATTTCCCATTGCTGTAACTACATTTTAGACCAACACTGGAAGCCACCCAGATATAAACATCAGGCGTGCTGACAATGAGAAGCAGTCCAGTGTAGGGCATAGCCTCGGGATTATTTACATACTTTTATGTCTGGTGTCTGTGCTGTCCCACCCTCGGTGACAATGTATTGTGAGATTGAAGGCTGGAGGACCATGAAGTCATACTTTCTCAATGCCGCCGACAAGTCGTTCTGGCATTGACATCATATGCACGCACACATGCCGGGAAATGCAAAATCACAATTTATCCCTAAATGCTTCGAATATCAACAATATTCCGGCCATTAACTTACTGAGACCACAGGAGTCGGGTATTAAACTTTGGAGCTAGCTATTACTCTGTCTTGTGCTTCAGCTTCGCGTGCCCACCACGCTGCACAGAGAGAGAGAGAGCTCCAGGAATTGGCGTAGAGTCGTGGCGATGTCCGCTTTTTTTCATGCACCAATAAAGGCTGGGCAAAGCCTTCAGAGACAGCATGTCTTGCTCCACTCCCTCTCAATTGATGTGCAAGTATGTCACTGTTTTATTATTTACAGAGCATGTACCGCTGCCTCGTATTTTTTAACCAGGTAAGAACCCATCGAGATAGGAAGTCGCATTTTTTTTTAAAGGAAGACCGGAAATTATAACATACACAAGTGGCACAAATAATCACGTAAAGTTAAATTGTTAAGTTTAAAGTCACATCAAAGACAACCATAAGCTGCAGTTTTACCACTGTAAATGGTTTGCGAGTGTATTCCAATCTCATCGGTCACCTAACAAAGGTGTTTATTCCAGTCACATAATTGGCTTGCATCAAGCACAATCAACATGTGAGCTGTCCGCTTATGTAACTCATGTTTGAGGCTCAACCATTCGACATTTTGGAGGAGCTATGATGTTTTGCCCTTCACATTTCTATTGACTCACACTCATTGCCAAGTTACCATAATTTGGCTTCCACTATAATCTGCAAGCTTGGATTGATCTTACTTTCTATGTGATAAGTCGATATATGCAGTAGTTGTTGGTAGCCGATCTGATACCTTTACCATTGCCTTGAATAGGTTCTCTGGCACAGACATTCCTGTCTCCTCAAAACATTGTCACTGTGGGGGTGCGGGGGGCGATATCCAATGCCGACGCAAAAATCGAGGACAGCTTTTTCATATTTCCGACAATATGAATACATCAAATAAATAATATTATCAGCCATGGTCTGACCACTGCTCTATGAAGGCTTCCTAAGCCACCACTTAAAAAATAATAAGATCTATTGTCCTAAGAACGTAAATGGACAATCGTGGCCTTCGGTAAGTCAGAATTTTATCTTCATGATATTATTGTTACGACAGGTGCACACGTGTTCGTTTAGGCCCCATCTGCCAGTTGTAAACATTTCTAACGAGCTTTTTTTAAAAATTTCCAATAAAGGTTCCTTGCCCTTGAGGACCCACCTGCCCCAGGCTACATTCAGAGCCAATTAATTTTGTCGGAGGATCAGTATGTGGTGGTCGCAGACTCCAAGATCCATTTTTCTATTCATATAAAAAGCCTCGCCTCCATACTCGACCAAAATTGTCGTTTTATCACCACGTGCAAAATATAAGCAAGTCCTGAAATTTCATATCAGGGCTCTACGGGCACATTCGACCACTATTGAGTCGTGGAAACGCGGTGGCTTATAGCGACAAGTCTCGATTTATTGCAACTCACTATTCTACGGGAGATCTGGCAAACATTACCAAGCTACAGCGTGTACAACATTGTTTGACACGTGTTGTGACGGGTACTGCAGGATACGACCATGTCCGTTTAATGCTCGCCGAGCTGCATTGGCTTCCGGTTGCCGAACGAACACATTATAAGGTCGTACTCATGACACACAGATTGCTTGCCACAAATGAACCACAAAACCTTGCTGATCTTATCAAGGAGCATAAACCACTCGAACTGCGGTCATTGTTGCAGTGGCTTTTGGCTATCCATCGAATAAAAATGGTCACTGCATCGCGCATTAGCAAATGTGCATGTGCGGCTGTCTGGAACGCTCTCCCAATATAAGGAAGCCACTGGATTTTTGCACTATTAAATCTAGATTGAAAACTAATTTCTTTAAAACTGCTTTTTGTGTTTAATTTGTTGTCCTTCCCCCGCACCTCCGATTCGCACGGTTGGCTACATACGGGATGAAACAAGTTCAACATACATAATTTTGAGCCACCCCACACTCAGAGGACATGGGTTCAATTCCAACCTTGCCAGGGCAGTGTGTGTGCCATGTTCTTAGGTCTCACTTGATGAAGACATTGGCATGTGCACATGATTATACAATCATAACCATGTGCGAATAGCACGGCTGGTTACGTCCGGTGCAAAATAAGTTTTACATACATGCGCATCAAGGTATGCATGTGTGGTCATGTGTGATCATGTGTTTTCAATGTGTCCATGTATGCTCATGTTTAGCATTGTGTGTATGTATAGCAATGTGTGGTAATTTGTAGCAAGGTGTGCATATGTGGTTATATGTGATGGTTATGTATGAATGGGTGGAGCAGTGTTTAGCGCACTCTGCTAAGAATCCGGTAACCTAGGTTTCATTCGAGCAGAAGTGATCATCTGTACTGGTTTTGGGCTTTACATGGGTCAACTCAGCCTTAAATAATTACTTGGTGTGATGTGTAAATATCGGCACTGGCTTTAAAAGGTCCTAGGTAACAGCACTTGCCCCCACAATTTGTATGGCTGCTTTAGGAGCATATTTGTATTTGGATATATGTGTTAAGGGGCCGTCCATAAATGACGTCACGCAACTAGGGGGGGGGGGGTCAGACATTTGTGACGATGTGTGACGAGACGGGGGGGGGGGGGGTTAGAGAAATGTGACGTCACATCAAAATGCGCAACTTTAAATAAATATAGACAACACGTTCTACTTAATTAAATAGACTTTTTAATAAATGTTTTCTCCTACAACATCAGAGTGCAGCGCCACATTAAATACGCACTACAATGACAATAATTTAAATCGATTTGAAGCATATTCTTGGTTCTTTCGGTAAAGTCACGTTGAAGGGAAACAATAAAATAATAAAATATATATAAAACGATTTGAAGCATGTTTTATTTTCAAAATGGAAATTTGGTTTGGGGGGGGGGCAGAGCTTTGTGATGTCATATTTGAGGGGGGGTCTGACTTTTTGTGACGCCGTGTGACGAGGGGAGGGGGGTCAAAAATCGCCCAAAATCGCGTGACGTCATTTATGGACGGCCCCCAATACGACCCGAAAGCCACACATGATGCTCACAGGACAACTGTGAACACAAAGTGGAATTTAATTACAATAGCAAAAACCACAGAAATAACAATAGCAGTAAAAGCAGCAGAAATAATCATAGTTCTCTATCCATGGCCCCCTCACCCCTGGTCAACAGTTATTGTAGTCGTGACTCATACAATACTGCTATGCAGGTAAGTATACATGTTGCGCGTAACAATGTCGCTACATCACCCCTCCCCTCGTAGCACACAGCCGTCTCGGCTGTAACAAATCTCAATAAGGTAAC